GCTTTTTGTTCCTCCCTGGGGACCCCAGCAGGGCCAGGAAGGGAGGGTGGGAAGCAGAGAGCAATGGCTGAAAGGTGGGTGGGTTGTTGGTTCTACCCAACACCAAAACTCCAGGGAGAAATGTCACCTTCTTGTAGGTGTCCAACCTGGGTCCTGCTGCAGGATGCCTTCCCAAGGTCTGAGTTGGGATGGCTGGTCAGGGAGAAAGTGGACCAGTGCTGGAGCTCCATCTAATACTGGGAGCCAGCTTTGCCAGGCTAAAACTAGGCCACAGTGTCTTGTGACCCCTGGCACCTGGCCTCTCCTATGTTCCCTCCTTTTCTGATGCTGGCACACAACCTTCTTGAGGGACATCCCTCAAGTCATAACCAGGCAGGCTCTGGCATCCTGGAAAGTGCTGGGGCTGAGTAGCACCTTCCCCTCCTGGCCCTGGGTGGGAGGGAGGAAAGAAGGATGTATTTCTCTGTGCAGAGCCTTTGCGGAGCTGGAGCAGGTTGGGGGTGGGGAGAACTGTCAGTCCCTACTGTGTGCCCAATCCCTTCTCTGATAAATAGCCAGTTAGTCTTTATCAAACACAGGCTAACCCAGTCCAAGCCCTCGAAGAAGTGCTGTACACCTCTGTCCAGATGAACCCTTTCCCTCCAGTAATTGGGAGGTATATAGATCCTTCCCACTGCAGGGCCCTTTTTTTTTTTTTTTGGTGGGTCTGTGGTTTGAATTCAGGGCTTTGTGCTTGCAAAGCAGGCACCCTATTACTTGAGCCATACCTCCAGTCCATTTTGCTCTGTTTATTTTAGGGAGATTCTTGAGAATTATTTGTCTGGGTGACCTCGAAACTCAGTCCTCCCAATGTCAGCCTAGGAATACGGCATGAGCCACCAGCACGCAGCTTCCTTTTTTATTCTTTTTATCATATTTTTTGTTTTGGTTTTGGCTTTTTTTGTGTGTGTTTTGAGTCAGGGTCTTACAGTGGAACTCAGGCTGACCTTGACCTCATGATCCTCCTGCCTTAACCTCCAAGTGCTGGGATGACAGGCATATGCCATCATGCCCAGTGTTAAGGGTCCTTCCTTTTGTGTATCCTAAGTCCCCAGGGCACCCAGTGTCATGTAAAACATTTTCCTGGGAAGCCTCTGCAGCCATGACAGGTCTCCCACATGACCCAGGCCTCTGAGGCAGAGTGAGGCAGGGCAGCCTGGTGTAGTAGCATGATCTAGAGCTTTGGACCCCCAAGTTTCAGGCCACCACTGAACCTCATTATCCTCTGCCCCCTTCTGAGCCACTAGGGGTCATAGTTTATAGGTCATAGTTTGCCAGGGACTCTTGGCAGCTGTGCACTAGAAGCCTGTGGACCTGTCTAGGCCAGCATGCCACCTTAGAGTACCAAAGGGGAAACAGGCTATAGGGGCAAGCCCTAGTCAGTAGAGAGGCCTAAAAGGGAGCAGGACCTTTGGTGCAACCCTTGGTGGGGGCTGGGTATTCAGGCTGGATCCGGCCATGAGCTCAGGTCTGAGCATCTCTGACCAGATCCAGGATGTCCTTCCGTCTCAGGGTCCTTCACTTGATCCCATTTGTAGAATTCCTATTGCCATGGGAGGTGATGTAGTCAGATTCCAGGGATGAAAGCCGGGACTTGTTGGGGACCACATTCTGCCTACATAGATAGGTCTTGGGGGAGCAGCCTGGATAGCCTCAACACTTGGAGGGTTGGCCTCAGGGGCCTTCACTTCTGCTGCTCTTCCCAGTGCTCCAATGAAAAGTCTCTGCCCCATGGATTTGTGTTTCTTAGCTGCCCAGCTCCCTGCAGGAGTGTCTGTGGGTCCTACTTGTAGACTGGTGCCAACTGCACAGAGATTTTTGTAAACAAGCAGCAGTGCGCCTGATAATAACTACAAAGGGAATGTGCACATTCCAGTGCAGAACCAGGGCTAAGCAAGTGCCTATCTGTTGCTTTTTGCTACGTGGTTTCAAGGCCCTTCTTGCTCCTCTGTTATCTGCCTGTTCTGGACATGTCTTTCAGCACTGCAAGTCCCTCTTGGCAGCTGGCATTGTATATAGAATAAATTAAGACACAGTTGCGTTTGTGTCTAAAAGGACCCCCCCCCACCTCCAAGATTTTTGACCAGTTAGTGTGATGTGGGCTCAGTGGCATCCTGTTCCCATAATTGTTTTGATCGTGTTCACGGAACCACTTTCAAAAGAAGGGAACATACTGGGCTTAATGTGGCACCTCCCAGTCCTGCCACCCTCTGATTTCTCATAGCCTTGTAGCTTGCCAGGTGGCCAAAAGGCCCACTTGTCCTCTTTAACCCCAGTGGACCTGCTCAGTTGCTCTGTCTTCACATCACCTCTGTGCAGGTGTTTCTATAAAGTGTGGATACTGAGAATTCAAGTGTAAGGATAGACTGCTCATAATTATTGGTGGTACTGGGGACTAAACCCAAAGCCTGGAGCATGCTAGGCAAGGGCTCTACCACTTAAGCCATGCCTTAGTCTTTTTGGTGGAACTGGTGTTTGAACTCAGGACTTCATGCTTGCAAAGCAGAAGCCATGCCTCCAGTCTTGACACCAGTGTCCTTGACTCCAGCAAGACCTTGTAGCCCAGGCTGGCCTCAAACTTTGAATCCTGCCTCAGCTTCCAGAGTGCTGGAGTTGCAGGTGTTTATTACTGCTGCTGATTGTTGCAAGTCTGCTTTCAAAGAGTCCATCCCATGTGTTCCTGATCCCGTTGGTGTGTGAGGGCAGAGCTACGCACTGCTTTAGAAAGTTTACGCTGTCTCATGGCTGTTTGCATCTCCTCCCCAAGCTGCCTGGTTTCTCTGTCCCTCTGTTGCACTTTGTCTTCCTCTCATGACAGGTGGGAGCTGCCTTCGGAGTAAATGTTGGCTTTTTTTGTCCTATAAATTGCACATGTATATTTTTCTCTGGTCTCTTGACTTTGTTTATGGTAATCTTTTCCAAAAGTTTTTACTTTTAGGGTATTAGTTTCCTATGGCTGCTACAGGTTACCACAAAGTTGGTGGCTTAGAACGACACACATTTGATCTTGGTTAGAAACCAGCCAAGGTAAATAGTTCACAAGACCCTATCTCAAAAATAATCAATATGAAAAGGTCTGGTGGAGTAGCTCAAGTTGTAGAGCACTTGCTTTGTAAGTGCAAGGCCCTGAGTTCAAACCCCAGAACCACCAGAAAAAAAAAAAAATGAACCTCATACAATAGTGAAAAGCAGAGGTCTGTAGTCCAGGTGGAGCAGGGATGGTTCCTTTCAGAGGCTCCAGGGAGGATCCATCTCTTATCCAGCTTCTAAGGGCCTTGCATCCCTTGGCTCTCGACCCCTTCCTCCCTTTTCAGATTAGCAATGCACTGTCTCTCAGACTCTGTCTCTGACTTGCCTCTTTCTCATGAAGACCCTGTGCCTGAATGATCCAGGGTGATCCCCAGCTCAGGATTCTTAGCTTGATCCCATCTGTTGTGTCCCTTCTACCATGAGAAGTAACGTCCTCAAGCTCCATGGTCCAGGCAAGACAGGATGTCTTTAAGGCCAGTTTCAGCTGACCCCAGGATATTAATTCTACTGACTTCGCCTTAGAGATGCTGCAGGTTTACCTGGAGAATTTCTCATGCTGGCCTAACAACATTTCGGGAACAGAGGGCTCTATGTGCACATGCTGTTTAGAATTTCTGCACTTCTGTGCATAAACAAGTCCCCTTAATTGAGTCCCATGGATTGGGGTTGTGCTGGTCTTGTAGATCGTGCCTCCGAACTGTGTAAATAACATTCACTGTTCAAATAAAATATTAACAAATATGCTTTGACCCCTGCCCCTGTTCATGGTATTTTCTGAATTTTGTGCTTTTTTTTTTTTTTGGGTGAGAGCAGTACTTGGATGTTGAACTCAGGGCCTCACGCTTGCTAGGCAGGCACTCTGTCAGCCCTTCTTGCATTGGTTATTTTTTGAGATAGGGTTTCACTTTATGCCTGGGCCAGCCTGGACTGTGATCCTCCTATTTACACCTCCCATGTAGCTGAGATGACTGGTGGGGACCACCTGCTTTTTATTGGTTGAGATGGGGGACTCACCAACTTGCACCTGGGCTGGCTTCGCACTGTGATATTCTCAATCTCTTACCTCCTGAGTAACAGGTGTTACAGATGTGAGCCACTGCACTAGGCTCCAAATATTGTGTATTCATGGAACGTATAATTCTTTTTTTCTTTTTCCCATCAGTGGTATCACACTGTAGATATTTCCCCTTGAAAGTCGTATGAAAAATCTTGTGCCAATACAGTGGGATGGTGCAATGAATGGCACATCCTTCATCCACCTAGTCCTGGTCCGTGACGGCCTGTGAACTTTGCTGTGAGCAGGAAAACTGATGGGAACTGGGTACAGTGGCACATGCCTGTAGTCTTTGGCAACTCCAGAGGCTGAGGCAGAAGCATGACTTGAGGCCAGCCTAATGAACATAGGGAGTCTGTGTTTCAAAAAAAAAAACCTATGGGCTACACTTGGGTAAAGTGGTGAACAGGCAAACTGCTGGCTGGGGTCACATTGCCCATGGATGGTCTTACCCTTGTGACTACTGTCAAGGTGCGATTGTCAGCCCACCCTGGAACCTTGAACCATGGAGCTTCAAAATTCGGTTGGTTCCTATTTGTAATGTCTCCTTCATTGCTTTGTGGAGTTCATTGCATAAGCTATTCCAGGAAGTCCCTGGAACCCACTCAGCTGCTGGCTGTCACTAGGTCTGTGCTCCTCCCTCCTGCCCCTCTGTGACAGTCACATGCCGACCCAGTTGCCCTCTGCACTGGGCCTGGGAGAGGGGAGGTGAGCCAGGCAGGGCCTCGGTGAGCATCTGCTGGGGCCCCCAGCATGAGCCTGGTGTATTGTAGGTTCTGGAAGGCTGGTTTTCTTCCCTTCCCCGCTGAGGCCAAGGCCAGCTATGGTTATTTATCTGTCCTTCTCACTGCTTCTTATGTCCTTTCTTCCCTCCCAGGGCTCAGTTATGACCCATACAATCCAGAGCTGCCCAAGCCCCCAACACAGAGGGAGAATGGCACACTGGGCCAGGGCGATGAGCCCCGCTCGGATATGCTGGAGCTAGAACTGGTCAACCAGGCCATTGAGGCTGTGCGCAGTGAGGTGGAACTGGAGCAGCGGCGCTACCAGAAGCTCCTGGAGACAGCCCGGGAACACAGTGTGGCTGAGTATGGTGTAGGTGGGGCTTCTGCCCTGGTGCCTGGCAGCCCTGCCACTAGCCCCAATACGGGCCTGGATGAGGACACCTTCCCACTGGCCTTCAGCTACACCCCCAGCAGCCACAACCTCCTGACGCCTGATGGTGGCTACCAGCCCACCCCACTAGCTGCTCCAGCTGAGCCAGGCAGCAGGTACTTGCTGGCATCTCTGGAGAGGGGTCAGGGCAAAGTGGGGGGCCCCAGTGGCACCCTGGAATATGTCCCCAAGGCTGTGAGCCAGCCCCGGCGGTATAACCGCCCTGTGCCCAGTGGCAAGTATGTAGTGGACAACTCTAAGCCATCCACAGACCTGGAGTATGACCCCCTCTCCAACTACTCTGCTCGCCACCTCAGCAGAGCCAGCTCCAGGGACAAGAGGGCCATTAAGAGGCCCCGGGGCTCCCATGGGAGCGAGCCCTACACACCTCTCAAGAAGCCCTGCGATCCCTTCAGCGGCTGCGATGCCAGGTTTTCAGATTCAGAAGATGACATGGCCAGTCCTCCCAAGACCAGGGACAGCTCACCCAAGACCAGGGCCAGCTCCCCCAAAGCTGGGGCCAGCCTTGAGAGCAAGGCCTCTGGGAAGCCATCCTCCAAGGAAGGCTTGGAGCCTGAGGAAGGGAGCCTGCGGGAGACCAAGGAGATGGCAGTACAATGTGATGTGGGGGACCTTGGACAGCCTCCAAAGGACCCAGACAGGGCATCCCCAGTGAAACCCAGCTCCCCAGCCAGGGTCCCCGAGGATCTGGGCCGTCCCAAGGAGAGCAAACCCAAGAAGAAGAAAAATGGAACCCCATCAATCCTTGGTCACAAGGACAATACCCTGAAGAAAGACAAGAAGAAGGACAAGGACCAAGGGCGAACTGGAGAGAAACCATGTGCAGACAAGAGCCCACAGACCAGCAGCCCCCGGCACAAGGCCGAGCGACCCAAAGGGACCAAGAAAAAGCCATCTTCAGCCACCCTGGTGGCCAGCTCAGGGAAAGATGGGTCTGGCTGCCCCACTGGTTTGGGTCTCCAGCCCCAGAACTCTTGTTCTGGTCCTCACCAGCTGCCAGACAGGAAGGGCAGTGGGAAGCTGCCCTCCGGAAAGTTAGTGGAGCGCAAGGCCCACTCATTGGATGAGGGCATTTCTCAGGACGCCCCTAAGCTGAAGAAGCGGGCCCTGAGCCATGCTGACCTCTTCGGGGATGAGAGTGAGGATGAGGATACAGGGCTGGGGACTGGGGTACCACGGGTCTGGCCCTCCGCCCTTCCCAGCCTCAGCTCAGACTCAGACTCAGACTCCAGCCTGGGCCTCCCTGAGGCACAGCTGCCCAAGCGGCTCAAGGCTTCCCTGCCCCCATTCCCTGCCCTGCCCTCCCCTTCCTCCTCCTCCTCCTTGGGTGCTGGGGAAGAAGTGGAGGAGGATGTGGACTACTCGGCCTTGGAGAAGGAGGTTGACTTTGACTCAGACCCCATGGAGGAGTGCCTGCGGATTTTCAATGAGTCCACCAGTGTGAAGACGGAGAACAAGGGCCGACTGGCCCGGCAGGTGAGGGGCACCGGGCATTCGAAGCTGGGTTCCCCATCAGGTCAGCCCTGGCAAGGGCTCCGAAAGGGGACATTCGTCCCACAGCTGTCTCCAGATGACTCGAGCCTCAGCAACCGGTGGAAGTTGTTCTTCAGCACAGGCCTCTTAACTTGTTTAAAATTCAGGAACCCTCGGTAGCTGTCTCCTGCCCCCCTGCACCCCGTCCAGAAAGAGGACGCTGGTTTACAGCCTGCCCAGCTGGGTTCCCGCGGCAGCGTTCCGACTGACGGGTCAGACTGACTAGCCAAGGGGTATTAGGCCCACTCGCGGGTCCACTCACCTGTGCCCACCCCACCTTTCACACAGCCCTTCTCGCCTTCCCTCTCCCCCCCTCTTAGCCTCTTCACCTCTTTCTTCTCAACCTCCTCTCTCTTCCCTTCCCTAGCCCCTCTCTTATCTTTTTTGGCCTTTTGCCCTACTTTTGGCTCCCATACCCTCTTCTCTCTCCTTCCTTTCTGTTCCCAGCATTAGGGAGTCTTGGCTCCCTATGGTCAGCAATGACCCATCTGGGTTTCCTCATTCAGTATCCCCACAGTGGCCACCAGAGGGAGCTCACCCTAAACAGACAAAGCTGGACTTGGCCTGTTCCCTCCAGCTCTGGCTCTCATCCAGTTATCTGAGCCGATGCCCCTTTGCAGAATTCACTGCACTGCTGGCCTGGGAGGCTGGTGCTGGGACCTCACCTACATGACTGGCCTGAGGTCTTAGGGTCTTAGAAAGTTTCATCCTCCACTGGCCAGAGGATGATCTGAGGCAAGGTGGAGAGGAGGTGTGTGCCAGGTGAGGGCTCGGAGGAGTCCCCCATATTGAGGCACAGACATGTGTTTCAGCCCCCCAAGAATGAGAAGGGTGAAGAGAAGGGTCATACAGGCCTGACCACTCTGTTCCCGGGGCAGAAGAGGAGGATCTCTCACCTTTCCAAGCAAGGCAAGGAGGTAAGAACCTAGGTTTGAATCTGGGGTGAGGGCCTGCATGAGGAGGAGGGGAATCTGCTGCATTTGGGGGGCTTAGGCCCTGTCCACAGAAGCCAGATACTTGCATGCCCCACTGGAGGGTTCCTTTGGCAACCTTGTTTTCAGCACCACTATATCCTGGAAGAGAAGTGCATCCCACTCATGTCTTGGCCTTAGATTGTCTCCAGCTGTAGGCATTAGCACAGAGCAGGGAAGAGTGAGTCAAATCCTGATTTGTGATCTGTGATCTGGTCTGTGATCTGGGGCAAGTTACCCAACCTCTCTGAGCCTCCTCAGTAGTTGTGGTACACAATGAGCACAGAAGGCACAGGGCAGAGAACTTGGCTCCAGGATTAGGGGTTCCAGTCTCCCTGGCCACCCAAACCCTCCAGCAGGGCAGGGCCAGGGGTTCTGGGAAGGTTGTGTCTGTCAAGCTTTGGGTCGCAGCCTGGGCCCCCAGGCCCAGGAGTGGAGAGCAGGCTGAAGATGCTCCTGGGACACAGTCAGCTTGGGCTGGGACTGTGGCTTTGTGCTGACTTCTGCGCATCAGGAGGAGGCTAGGGGCAGACCTCCCCACACTGGAGCTCTGGCTCCAGACATGTGGCCAGGCCCTGGGAACTATCATTGTCTAGGCGGAGCCCCTGAAGAGGGGCCCTGTGGTGCCCCCAGCTCGACCACCGACTGCCCAGGAGGTGTGTTACCGACGGGCCCAGCAGGCACAGAAGGAATCGGCAAGCTGGCTGCAGGCTGCCCCTCGGCCGACTGAGAAGCCCTCAGTGCACATCTCAGCCCCTGGAGAGAAGAGGAGGATCGCCCACATTCCCAAACCCCGCTTGGCCACGGGTGAGTCCTGGTCCCTGCTCCTGGGGGATGAGAGGATAGGCCCCAGATTGCTGGGTGGGCCTCCTGTAGCACTTAATGACCTGAGCACCAGCCTGGGTCTCAGTTTGCCTATGTGTAAAGTGGGGATTAAGAGTCTTCCCCATGCTGGGTGCCTGTGGTTCATGCTTGTAGTCCTAGCTACTCAGGAGGCAGAGATCAAGAGGATTGCATCAGCCTGGGCAAATAGTTTTCAAGACTCTTATCTTGAAAGAACCCATAACAAAAAAGGGCTGGTGGAGTGGCTCAAGGTGTAGACCCCGAGTTCAAACCCCAGTACCACAAACAAAAATAGTCTTCTCTGTGGTGATGACTGAGCCACAAAAGCCTGACCTGTGCCAGTTTCCTCATCTCCTTCCTGACCCAGGCTTCCAAGGATATTGCAGGCCAACAGGTTAGTGGGGACTGGTCACATATCAGGTGTGACTGAGGCCTAGATTCAATCAGGCCAGAGTCTTTATGGGGTGAAGCTGGTGGCGCTGCTTTGAGACATACATTTTTCTACCCACTTCATTTTAAGGTTGGGCTACCCCTTAATGGTCAGAATGAACAGGACATCAGAGGGGGGCAGGTCTGTCTTCTGTGTGCTTCCATGACTTGGAAGCAAGTGACAGAATCACCTGGAGAGCTTATGAAAATGCTGATTCTGTTTGGGAGGGGTTGGGGGCCTGAGCATCTGATGGGCTCCCCGGGAGGTCCTCACTGTGCACTGTGCATGCTGTGACCAGACCCCTTGCCTGGCTTGAGGGCTGAAGCCCCGCAGTCCTGGGGCCCTGATCTGTCCCTGTTCTGTGTGATCCCATGGCCCTCCCCTCCACTCCCCCAGAACACTGAGTGCCCTGGGCCTGCTCGCCTCATTCCTGCCACCTGGGGGCAGAGTTGTCACTGTGGCCTGGGGGAGTCTAGCCTTCCCTAGGTGCAGCCACCCTGAGCTGGGAAGGCCCCCCTATCCCCTTGACTCCCTTTGCTTGTCACACCCCTCCAACACATTTCTAAATGGGCCAGGAAGATCTTCTGTTAGTCATGGGCAAAACTTCTACCTGGTAAGAGTCAAGTGAGCAGCTTGGTCAGAAGCCTGCTTCCTCCCTAGGGGGCTGGTTAGAGCAGCTGGAGGTGGTGAGGGGGGGGAAGGTTCTCCCCTTAATAAGTGGGGCCTCACTTCCGTGGTAGGTTGAGTGGGAACCTGTGGATGCTGTGGTCCCTGCTCTGAGTTTCTGAGCCCTTCAGGAACCAGACATTTGAGGAGAATCCCACCCAGAGCCTAGCTCTGAAACTGGGGGCAGATGATCCCAGCCCGAATGCTCATCCCCTTTGTCAGTCTCACTCCCCTACTTCAGAGCTGGACAGACACCCCCACCATCTAGCACAGGCACATGGGAACTGGATGAGATGGGGGGACACAGCCTTTCAGGCCACCCCTCCCTTGAGAGCATTGACTGTGTGGTTTGTGACCTCATCAGAGGGACAGGCAGAACACAGAGGCCATGGTGGGTAGGCAGGTGGCTCATCACAATGACTGGGCCGGGGTGCCCCAGACCCTCTGGTCCTTTGCTCAGGAACCAGGGCCGCCCCCTCAGACGTCAATGCCTTGGAGTCGGGGGCCAGAACATGTGGCAGAGGCCCAGCACGCCCCCCGCCACTTACCAAACCACCCCGAAGGCAACGTTGCCTGAGTGGCCTCCACAGCTGAGTTTTGTTTCCCTGTCTCCATGGACTTGCCAGAGAGCAGATAGAGCCTAATGTCATTCCACAGCCCGAGCTCAGCGTCCCGTCCGCTCCCGCTGTACTCAGAGATGCATGTGCTGCTCACGCTCAACGACCGCAGCTTCCTGGTGCTCCGCAGCTCAGTGATGGGTCTTCTGTCTTCCTGCACTCATGTCCCCTGTCCCCCACCAGCTCCCACAGGTGCCAAGAGGACCCTCACGGCCAGCAGCAGCCAGGCCCCCAATGGCCCTGAACCTGGCAGCCAGCCATTGAAGACACGCACACTGTCAGGGATGGCTTCCAAGACTACCACCACCATCACCCCCAAGCGCATCGCTCACAGCCCATCTTTACAGGTACCCAATGCCCACCACGCCCCCTCAGGGCTCTTCCCTTGGCTCTGCTCACCAACACCCCAGATGGAGCACAATCTGCCTGTTTGTTTCAGACTTCTTTCATAGAGTCGTGTGTGTGCGTGCATGCGCGCGCGTACATATGCATGTGCGCGTGCACATGGTTTTTGTTTTGCAGGACTGAGGGTTAAACCCAGGGCCCAGTACTTGCTAAATAAGCGCTCTACTACTTGAGCCACATCCTAACCTTTGTGTGTATGTTTTAATTAATAAACTTTTTTTTTGGTGGGACTAGAGTTTGAACTCAGGGCTTCACCCATACAAATCAGGCACTGCCAAAGCAGGTGCTCCACCGCTTGAGCAACACTTCCAATTCATTTTGCTCTGATTATTTTGGAACTGAGGTCTTGCACACTGTTTGCCTGAGCTGACCTCAAACCCCAATCCTGATCTCAGCCTCCCAAGTAGCTAGGATTACAGGTATGAGCCACTGGTGCCTAGCATTAATTAATAGACTTTTATGTTTCTTCTTTTTTTTGGCTGTACTGGGGATTGAACTCAGGACCTATACCTTGAGCTATTCCACCAGCCCCCTTTTTTTTGTGATGGGTTTTTCCAAGATGGTCTCTCAAACTGTTTGCCTGGGCTAGCTTCAAACCACGATCCTCCTGATCTCTTGCCTCCTGAGTAGCTAGGATTATAGGCATGGCGCCCAGCAGTGTTTCTATTTTTTTCAAATGAACCCAGGGGTTCTTGCATGCTCAGCAAGCACTCTATCATTGAGCCATACTCCAGCCCTAATGCTCTTTTTTCCCCTTAATTAACAGCCTGATAGACTATTTTTTTAGAATACTTTTGGTTTAAAAGTCTGAGCCGAGTGTAATGAGTGTCCACCCTCAGTTTCCCCTGTTGAGAATGACTTGCATCTGTGAACTGAGGCCCTGTGCCAGGAGCATACACCCTACTCTCCCTGGTATCCTGAAGTCACTGCAGGAGCTGTGCACAGGACAGCTGGATCCCATCATGCTAAGTGTCCACATACCTGCCACCTCTCTTTCTTTCAGAGTCTAAAGAAACCCGTTATTCCTAAAGAGTTTGGGGGCAAGGTCCCCACTGTCATCCGGCAGCGCTACCTGAACCTGTTCATGGAGGAGTGCCTAAAGTTCTGCTCGTCCAGTCAAGAGGCCATAGAGAAGGTCAGTAGGCTGGTGTTACCCTGCTCTCAGCTGGTTTTGGCAGCCCCCTGCTCACCTTGTGACCCCACCACTGCTGTTCCTGGGGTCTGGCACTTGTCAAAGCCTCAGGACTGAGCACCATGTTTCCCCCTCAGGCGCTGAACGAGGAGAAGGTGGCCTACGACCGCAGCCCCAGCAAGAACATATACCTGAACGTTGCCGTGAACACCCTCAAGAAGCTGAGGGGCCTAGTACCCAACACAGTGCCGGGTCTCAGCAGTGAGTCAGGGGCAGGGCTGTGTGAAGGACAGGCTCAGAGCTGGGGTGGTCACAGGTTGCAAGTATGGGGTCTTAAATGGGGCATACAGCCCTGGGCCCAACCGGATCCCAGGCAAAAGGCACCAGGAAGCATTGGGCACTGATGGGCCTATGCTTGGCTCCTCCTGTGCAGTCTGCCATGTAAGGTGAAACTAGCTGCCTGCCCTGGAAACAGCCTTTTCTTGCTATTACCCACCCTCCTTTGCAAGTAGGGCCTCCGAGCCTAGGGCTGCCTGCTAATGGAGCCACTCGCAGCCTCTTCAAAGAGAGAAGCCGTGGCGCCCAGGCTGTGCTCTGTGCATTAAGCTCTGGGGAGGAAGAAAGAGCGGGGTTAAGGCATTTCATTACTGCCTTTCAAGAGGGTGCATTAAGCAATCATGGCGCATTTGCGATCTCACTCTCACCTCCCCTGCGCCGCCTAGCCCCCCCACCTCCATTAGCTTCTCGGCCCGTGCTGGAAGGGCTTGGGCAACCTCAGTAGGCTGGGCAGCTCATCACAACACAAAGCCCTCAAAAGCCATTAGATGACTGCTTAGTCTCGGCCTCTCTCGCCTTCCTTAGAGAGTGAAACTGTGCCAGTGACATGGGGCTCGTAGCAGCCTCAAGGCTATTTGTCACCCTGAGGTGATGGCTCTTAGGGGAGTGGCCTGACACCACACATTGAGCCATGCCTTCTGGTTCTGTGGAAATCTGTCCAGGCCACTGAGGTAGCTGGGTTAGGGAGCAGCCACGGGGCAGGCAGTAGGGTGGAGCAGATATCCAGCTGATTCCTCTCTTCTTTTTGCTGTCTACCTCCAGAAACCAGTGGTCGGAGGCTGGTGTCCCATGAGGTGGTGCTGGGGGGCAAATTGGCTGCCAAGACCAGTTTCTCACTCAACCGCCCCAGCAGCCCAAGAGTAGAGGATCTGAAAGGTGAGATGGTGTCTCCATCCCCCTTCCTCAAGGGCTCATGGGCCCCCACCCAACCCCACTGCCATCCTAAACATCCGTGTCCACAGGAGCCACCCTGTACCGCCGTCTCAGGGAGTACCTACTCACCCTGGAGCAGCTCAAAGAGAATGGCTACCCCTTCCCTCACCCCCAGCGCCCAGGGGGCGCAGTCATCTTCACAGCTGATGAGAAGAAGCCCAAGGATTGTGAGTTAACCTGGACTAAGCCCACCTCTAGGGGTGGGGAGCTGCCCAGGATAGCTAGGTGCAGACATGGTCAGGGTCAAGTGGACTTGCAGAGTACCTCAACTGCTGTAAGCCACCTCCTCACCCTCTTCCTCTTTCCACCTGCAGCCTCCTGCAGAATCTGCTGTCGCTGTGGCACCGAGTACCTCGTGTCCTCTTCTGGCCGCTGTGTGCGTGACGAGGAGTGCTACTACCACTGGGGGCGGCTCCGCCGGAACCGAGGTGAGGCCTGAGGGCCATTTCCCCACCAGCAGACCCCTCGGTGGTCTCCCAGGACACCTGAGCTCCCACTCACTCTGACCCCTTACATTCTTTATTGTGAAAGTAATGCCTTCCCATAACAACATTGAAATGCTGACAGTCTGCAGGTCTTTGACAATCTGCCCCTGGCACCCTGCCTATGGCCCACCTCTGTAAGGATGCTTAGTGAGGTGGAGGCTCTTGGCACCCACAGGAACAAAGGGCTTGGCCTAGCCTACAGCCTGCTAGCTTCTTGTAATCTAGATGTGTCCTGCCCACTACTATGTGCACAGCACCGCCTCTCTGTGGGTGGAATGGCCTTCCCAGGCCAGTGTCATTCATGCAGTCAACCATGTGGGTCTATGCACCTGGCATGTCCTGGCTTCAAGTTGTTGGGAAAAGGTCTGATCTACTTCTGGCTCAGCCCCATGGCTAAGTTCCTGGTCCCAAATCCTCACCTATAATAGGGGCTGGCACCCTTTCCAGGGCAGGGTCTCCAGCCCTGCAGCAGCCACCTTCTTGACCAGGGCTGGGGAGCCTTTGCTGGGAAGCCCTGCCCTACCACAGGCAAGGCTGGGCAGGTAGTGAGCACCACCGGGTGTTGAGATGCTGTGCTGGACTCCTGACCTGATCTCTCCCTTAGTGGCTGGGGGCTGGGAGACACAGTATATGTGCTGCTCAGCGGCCATTGGCTCTGTCGGCTGTCAGGTTGCAAAGGTAAGTCCTAGCCCCAAATCCCTTGTCCCCATTCCTGACTTCTGACTCTGCCACACTGGTCTGGGGTGGAGGGACACTTGAGTCCTAAGCTCAGGTCTTGGTATGAGGCCTCGACCAGCCCTTCCTGAGCTGTCATAGAACCCAAGCACTTACAGGCCTCTCTGGGGTATGTCCTCCCACACCGCAACATGTCAGCGAGCTCCCCCTCCGGGCTTGGGACTTAGCTTCTGGTCCAGGGTACGGGACAGAACCTCTGCATGAATAGGCTTGGGGGTGACTAGGGTGAGCAGGTCTCATCTACACCCCCACTGCTCCCGCCATTCTGGCTTTGTCTCTGAGGTCCCCCCTCCCCCCAGCAACATGTGCAGGATGGCCGGAAGGAGAACCTTGAGGGCTTTGTGAGGACCTTTGAGAAGGAGCACTCAGAAGAAGCCCATGCAGGCATCTTTGCCCTTGACTGTGAGATGGTGAGTCTTCATGGCCGGCAGGGACCTTGTTGCTGTGTGGAGGTAGCTTAACTAGAGTAGGGCCAGACCTGGCAGTTGTATGTAACAGGCTGAAGCACGGTCACAGTTTTGCTGCATCTGCTCAGATCCTTCTGCAAAGGGTGTTGTCTACAGGTTCCCATCCAAGAAAAATATACACTGCTCAACACAGCTGAGTTTCCCACAGTGGAGGGCAGCAGGCCACATGTACCTAGGGGTCCACTTTGCCTGCAGAGTGTGCGGGCTTGTGAGCACAATGCTGACTTGGGCAAGGGCCCCTACCGAAGTCCCTGGCCCTCGTTCCCTGTCTGCAGTGAGGCCTCCCTCAGCCCCACAGGGCTCTATGGCATAGTGGTGGCTTTAGGAGACACTGGCCCATCCTTCACCCCACAGTCCTACACCACATACGGCCTGGAGCTGACCCGCGTCACAGTGGTGGACACAGAGATGCAAGTGGTTTATGACACCTTCGTCAAGCCTGACAATGAGATTGTCGACTATAACACCAGGTGCGCACAGGCCCAGGACGGGTACTCTACTTGGCCCTCCTGCATCCAGCTTAGCACACTACCCCCATCCTGTCCATCCTGCTAGGTTCTCGGGGGTGACAGAGGCAGACCTCACAGACACAAGCATCACACTGCGAGACGTTCAAGCTGTCCTGTTGAGCATGTTCAGCGCTGATACCATCCTCATTGGACACAGCCTAGAGAGTGACCTGCTGGCTTTGAAGGTACCCTTGCCTGACTGTGCCATGCTACCCCATGTGTCTCAAGCTGCTTTTGGCTATGCTGGGTTCCCTTAGCTCCAGACTCTGGATAGGGAGACTGCCTTTGCCCTGGGCCCCTTGCAGCCTGAGTGTTGCCCACTTGGCCCACAGGTCATCCACAGCACCGTGGTGGACACTTCTGTGCTGTTCCCTCATCGCCTGGGCCTCCCCTACAAGCGCTCCCTGCGGAACCTCATGGCCGACTACCTCAGACAGATCATCCAGGACAACGGTGAGTAGCAGCCTCCCAGGGGCTCTTCCCCAGATGGGGCAGCTCATGACCGTGTCTGCTCTGCAGTGGACGGGCACAGCTCCAGCGAGGATGCCAGCGCCTGCATGCACCTTGTGATCTGGAAGATCCGTGAAGATGCCAAGACCAAGCGATGACTCCCACCACCCCGCTGCCCACCTGCCCGCCTCTCCTGCAGCCCCGGCCCATCCTTAGTCCCAGGCCTCTTCCAAAACAGTGCAATAAATCTGAGAGCTAACCCTGTGCACCTCGAGAGAGCGGAACTGAGGAGCGGGACAAGCTGGCATCACAATAGCTGCTGCCAAGACCAACTAGGAGCCCAGCCCTGCCAGCCCTCACCTGGCCCCATCTCCATGCCCCCAGGCCTGGCCTCTGGAGTTGCTGCTGACCAGGACAGACCTGGCCTCAGCTGTGCTTGCACCCTGAGCCAGGAGCCCATTGCCCAGAGGGCAGTGGGACATCACCTCCTCTCTCTGCCCCTTTATACTTGATGTGGAAGCGTAGGGTGGGCTTGTTGTGTGCTTATTTGAGACAGGGGTTGTCCTCCTTTTTATTTTATATTGTTATTTTTATTAATTTTTAATTTAAACCTGTTGACTTGCACAGTTCCCGTCTCTTGTGGGAGGATCCTTGCCCTGGTGCTGCCTGTCTGCTGGGGGACAAGGTGGGCATGAGCCAGACCCAAGTCAGGGTTTGGGGCCCCAAGATCCAGCCCTGTGGGCCTGGGTGTCTGCCCTTGGCTCCAGGTGGCTGGGCCTGCCTTGAGGGCGGCAGCTTCCAGGACTCCCCCACCCCCAAGCCAACCTGGCCCCATGACCTCAGAGAGCCAAGGTAGCCCCGGGGTCTTGCCTTCTGGATGCCCCAGGGGTCCCTGGATGTCTTCCACAGAGCTCCACCTTCTCCCACAGGTTCTCTGCACCCCCCACCCTGGGCAGGGACAGAATAAACATTTGTATGGATTTTAGATTTTGCAGTTTGTGGTGCTCTTGGGGCCAGGCAAGACCTCTGTACACCCCTGTATGGCTCCTGTTCCTGGGGCCAGGGTGAGGAAAGAATTTGAAATTGCTCACCTTCATGGAAACTAGCTGTGGCCCCAGCCTGCTCCACTCCTGCTCTGAGTATGGAATATGGTCCATGTCCAGTAGACCTGGATGGCCTGCCCTGAGAGACCCAGGCTGTGTCCCCAGCACTGTGTGAAGGTAGAGCTGGCTTCCTGCTGCCTTGCCTACCAGGGCGGAGCTACACATAGAGGTGCAGGGGCAGAGACATTGCCTGCTGCCAGTCTAAGGGAAGGGGCCCGGCCCGCTGAGGCTATTCCATTCCCTCACCCAACATGCCATACATTCTGCAGTGCACACACAGCTCTAAGTGACCGAGCCGAATTGGCCCCCATATGTCAGAATGCTGGCTTGTGGTGGTTGCTAGGAGGCCCTGGGGTAATTAGGCCCCACCACTTATCTGAAATAAAAAGATTGCAGAGATTTCAGGGCCTCTCTGCCTCAGCACACATAGCCACAGAGAGCAAGACTGGCTGGAGAAGGCACCCTGCCACCTGGTCAGTCAAGACGTTTCCTAAGGATCTGAAGGACAGGACCCAGCCTCCTCCCAAGGCTTCCTGTTCCTGTGGTTTTCCTTTCCAGGTCCTAGGTCTAGAATCTCTCCAGAACCCTGGGAATCCATGCTTGGGGGTATGGCCCTCCTGGAGATCCTTGGCTAAGTCAGGCCATCTCCACCCTCAGGGGCTGTTCTTGTGACCAAGTTGCCCGTCCACCCCACTTCTGTAAAAGCATTTTCTAAATAAATGGTGCCGATTATTCACAGAAGCCCTGTTGCTGTGTGTTTCTGTGTGGCACCTTCCTCCACTGTCCCCAAGACACACTGGTGCCTTGGGAAGGTTGTGGGCAGTTGGATGTTAAGGGTGTTTGCCATAGGGCAGCTGGTAGCTCAGTAAGGCCAGCTCTCTCCAAGCCTTACAGAACATTTTTTTTTGCCACTAATCTCCCCTATCCACACTAGAAGCCTCAGGACCTTTGCACACCCATCCTCTGTGCTTGGGAAGTATTCCCACTGTGATTTTCCCCTGAGAATCTGGGCCCTCAGCTCCACCTGACTGATTTCTTCAAACACCCCCTTTCTCATAACTGGGTAGGCGCTGGATAAGTAATTGTTGAATGAACAAAAGAAGGGTGAGTCTGTTATCACCTCCAGGAGTCAAGCAGTCTTGCACTATGGGCTTCCATAGCTGAGTCTATTCGCCAGATCTAGCAGAGGTTGCCTCTCTGAGGCGGTGGGGGGGGGGGAAGGGGGATCATTTATTTTTCCCACCGCCTCCCTGTCTAGATGGGGCTAAGCAGGAAATGAGGGGACAGAGTTCAACACAGAACCGGCAATGTGGTCTGTTGGGTGGGGGCCAGACCAGAGAGAGGAACCTTAGAGTTGGATGTGGTGTAAGGAGGTAAGGAGAACCTGAGGGAGTTGGTATCTTCTGAAGCCGCCACCCCACATGCCCACTCGGGCCTAGGTACTGCCCAGTCTCATGGCTGTAATCTTACCCCTGACATCTTCAGAAAGGATCCTGAGCCTGGCAGCCTGCTGGCTAGCACATACACCAGACAGAACCCCATGAGCTTCCTCGTGGCCTTAGGATCAATAGCTATCAGTGCTTTGCTCAGCTGGAGGCTCAACAAGGTCCTTGTGTGTAGGAGGTGCTCATTTAAAGCACAGGGATGAATGAGTGAAGGAACCCAGGTCTCAGGTTCAGACATGTTCCATGTACCTGCAATTGCCTGTGCTGCCTTCTATCCACTCCAAACCCCACAGGACACCTCCAGGTTTAGCCCTGTCCAATCTACAAGGCCTGCCCTGGCTGGACCAGATATTATTCAGGACCTGCTTTAAAGACTCTTTCTGCCATGTGTGGTGGTAACACCTGTAATCCCAGCACTCAGGAAGCTGAGGCAGGATAGTGAGCTAGAGGCCAGCCTGGGGTGCATAGTGAGACTCTTATCTAAAAAATAAAAGAAAAAGACTCTCTCCCAAATCCTCCCTTCAGACGAAAGCACCGCCCACTGGCCCACCCCAATCATGCTCTGCCTTGACACCCTCATCCTCCTGCAACCGGCTCCCTTGGATCTGAAGACCTCACCCTTACACAGCTCTTCCAGGCCTTGCTTTGTCCTGCTCCTACCCACTGAGGTTCGACCCCGCCCAGCCCTCTCCCTCTCCCTTCCCCTGCCCAGGCCTCTCAGCAAGGCCTTACACTGCATCGCTTTCCATCTGTGCCTACTCCAGCCCCGTTTTTGTTTGTTTGTTTGTTTGTTTGTTTGCTGTACTGGGGTTTGAACTCAGGGACTACACTGGCCCTTTTTATTTGTTAGTTTTTTTCGAGATAGAGGCTCGTGGAACTATTTGCTCTGGCTGGCTTCGAACCGCAGTTCTCCTGATCTCTGCCTCCTGAGTAGCTAGGATTACAGACATGACCCACCGGTGCCCAGCTCAGTCCTGCTCTATTTACAAGGTTCTTCATAGGCCCCACCTGGCCCTTGGTCCCTCTCCAAGGTCCTGCCCCTATCCCCACTTCAAGGTGACGCCCCCTAGAGGCCCTGTCTCCTTCCTCGCCTTGCCTTCTGCCTTAGTCCCGCCCCTGAGGTCCCGTCCTGCCCCCTGTTCCCTAGGCTAGGCCCCGCCTTCTTCCTGGCCCCGCCTTCCTCCGGACCCCTCTCTCGGAGGCCCCGGCTCCGCCCCCACCCAGATCTGTCTCAGCAAGGCCTTTCTAGACTCCTGCCTTGGCCTCCCTCCTCCAGGCAAGGCCTCTCCTGGCCCCGCCCCCGAGATGGCCTGTTTTCACTTGGTCGGCCCCGAGCAGCCTTCTGTGCACTGGTCCAGGGAGGCCCCGGGGCTGTGATAGGTGTATCGGAACCCTGCATCACTGCTGCTGGTGAAACTCGGATTTCTGGTTAATGAAACATCTGGTTAGTGAGAATGGGGTTGGCGTTAGCAATCATGGTAATTTTGGATGGGGGTCTTCCGGCCATCTGAGAGTCTCCTCCAGACCCGCCCCTCCCACTTCCCATAGCCTGAGCCTCACTTTTCTTCATCTAGTGAACGGCACTGACTGACTCTCAGGGTCCCAGGAGTACTGGAGCTGGCCCTGAGCTAGGCCCTGCTCCACCAGACCCTGGAGGCACAGATGATTCATATACCAGCATTCACTGCCCTGGGGAGGTTTGGGGTTGAGCAAGCAAGAAAGACGGGGAGAGACTAGAGAGAGGGGATCAGAGGCGGGATGGGGGACATCCTGAACAGAAGGGGTTTCCCGAGGTGGCACAGGACCCAGTCTGGACCATCTGGGAAGTGTGAAGTGAGACCAGAAGGGTGAGCAAGCACTGACCAGACCAGTGGAAAAGTATCCTGACCAGGGAACAGCCTGGGCTGGTGCTCGGAAAGGAAGGAGCTACTAGCCTGGTAGTGTTGTGTGTGTGTGGGCTGGGGGGGCTGTCTTTGGGAAGCTGCTAGGGCTGCCATTTATGGGTGGCTCATATAATCTCATAGGGTGACATCAGGCCCCCCGAGACAAAACCAGACTCAGATTCCTGGCCTGATAGTGAGGAAGGCTCCTGGCTCTTCAGAAGGTTTGGTATCTGCCTCCACTCCCACATCGCGGCTCACCCCTCTAGGGGTGGCTAAGCCTAGCTGGATCCTGCCCCAGCAGCTCCAAGGCCAGGTCTCTTAGAGCAGCTAGACCCTTGTATACATTGCTCTGATATATATATCTAACCCTGGGCACCATTTGGTCAGTCAACAAACATGGATGCTTGACCCCGAGGCAAGCGGGACAGGAGTGGCCCTCCTGAGGAGACCAGAGGAGGCAGGCGAGACCTTCCTGGTGAGAGGCAGAGGGGCTGGCCATGGCATGGGAGCAGTGACTGGAGGCCAGTAGGTGAATGGCTGTAGTGGGGGAGGTAAGGCTTGGGTGTGTCAGTCTGTGTCCACAGACTGGGGAGTCTGTGGATGGGTTTGTGGCCCCCTGGGTCTGAGGGTATCCTGGGGAGGCCACACAGCCAATGGCTTTGCCTCCAGAGCCCAGGGACGGACAGGACACTACATATGGATATGGGACATTTTATTTATTTTTTTGCCAGTGTTGGAGATGGAACCCAGGGCCTTGCACATGCTTGGCAAGTGGTCTACCACTAAGCCACACCCCTAGCTCTTGTTTTATTTTGAGACAAAGTCTCACTATTCAGGCTGGCTTAAAATTCACCATCCTGCCTCAGCCTCCCCAGTTCTGGGATGACAAGTGTGCACCACCATGCTGGGCTTGGGAGGTGACACTTTAGAGAGGGTATACCCTGAACTCCTTGAGGGCAGAGCATCAGGTAACACCCAGCAAGACTAAGGCCACAAGTATGATCTTGACTGTGGGTCCCTCTCCCCCAACAGCGCCACCAACATGGACACTCTTACCCACAGAAAAGATGTGGAAGACGACAAGAACACAGGTAGTGCCATCCTATTTCACAGGCTGGGGGAGGGAGTGGTGGGAGGCTGGGGCACCACCCCCAACCTGAACCATTGTCCTTGAATGGGGCTGTGGTTGGGTTACGAACCCTATTACTGAATGGTTAGGTTCAGGATCTGAAATAGGACTGCCCAGGTTGGGCATGTGGAGCCCATCACCAGGCCTCAGTTTGCCCTGTCTGTAAAACGAATGACACTAATGGCTCTCCCATTGCCTGTTCTCTGAGTTGAGGTGGCTCAGAGGAAGGAGGAGGGGCTGGTCTTGGAACCCACTAAGCACAATGCAGGGACTAGGTTGGGCCCCCAGCAGTACCTTCACCCCCTCTCGTTTGTTTATGAGCTCCCTGACATCTCCCACAGTGAGCCGGTCATCCCCAGCTCTTGGGTCCCTTGAGGACCCATTCGTCCTCTGGGGCGTTGTTGGGCACTTGTCTCCAGCAGTGCCTAACTCCTCTCACTGCAGCATTCTCCTGGGAGGTGAGTGCCAACAACCACACCTTCCACACGAAGTTCAAGGAGAAGGGCTTCCTGTGCTGGCGGAGGAAGAAGTTCAAGGAGAAGGGCTTCCTGTGCTGGCGGAGGAAGAAGTACAAGGTGGGCAGCCTCGCCACTTCCCTGCCAAAGTAGTTCCCTGGACCCCACCCTCCCCTCTCCCAACAGGGCCTCTGTGCCCCCTCCCCACGATGGTGCCAGAAGCCATCCTGGGAAGGGAGTTTATTTTTCATGCTCCCTCAGTTCTGCCTATTCCTGGTGTTTGCTTGACATTTAAATTGTAACCACGAGGACAGGAATGTTCTCACCAAGCCACTGGTCTCCTTTGCTTCACCTGCTGTGCATTTAAGTAAGTTGATGCACAACCCTGACAGTGCAGCTGTCCCTCAGAGTCCTCTCCCAAGCCCCCTGAGTGTTTCATTTTGGAAAACACTGGCATCACAGCTCAATGACTCTTTGCACTCAGTAGAAGCTCAATTAATGCTGATTCAAGGCTTTGCATCCAGCAGGCACTCACTCTTTGCTGGCCTGAGGCTTTACATTTATTAGATACTTGATACTATCTGGAGACCTTGCATTCAGCAGGTGCTCTTTAAATGCTGACTCAGTGGACACTTCATTAATGCTGGCTGTGGCCTCTCTGGAGGTTCTGGGATGGGGCAGGCTGGCCACAGGGTCCCCTGGGCCTGGGCAGCACCCCATGCCATGGCTCTTGTTCCAGAACAATGCCATCTGCACAGCCAAGTACAACTTCTTCTCCTTCCTGCCATTGAACCTCTATGAGCAATTTCACCGCGTGTCCAACCTCTACTTCCTTCTCATCACTATCCTCCAGGTGGGGCAGGGTTCAGAGCCACCTCCTCTGGGATGCCCTCTCCGGAGCAGCTCAGCTGCTTCACTCTGCAGACTGAGCGATGCCAGTGTGATGAGCAGATTAAAGTCTGACTTCTCCCGTGCCCATCGTTTGATTGTCCCTGGCACACAGGAGGTGCTCAGTACATGCTGAATGATGAAGATGGCAGGGCTGGAGGTCGGGAGGAGGCAGTCCCTCCCACGGTGGGACTATCTTGGCCACACAACCCCCTTGACCCTGCTCATCTCATCACTCAGTTTTGGGGTTGGGGATCCTGATAGGTTCTCAGGACCTGCTGGGTCATTTCCTGGCACCTGCATGGCCAGTGTGGGGCAGATGGCCAGCTGGGACCCTACTCTTGGCTATGGCACTGTCTCCAGAGCACCCTACCTGCCTAGCCTCTTGTTTCTGCTCTGGGTAAACTGACCCTCTGCTTCTGTTCATGGAGCTGTTAAACATGGATTGAGCACCTCTTGTGTGCAGGTCCTCGACTGGGCACCAGGTGCAGGGACAAGCAGTGGCCATGACCTTGGTCTATGGGAGATTCAGGGACCAGTGGAGGTCTGAAAAGAGACTGTAGTCTGGAGTGGCTACTTGGAGGGGGTGATGATGGAGCTCAGACTTAAAGAATGACCAGAGGAACAGTGTTACTAAGGGAAGAGAAGGGAGACGGGCAGGGGCGGGGGGCTGGGGGTGATCATGTATTGCAGGAGAGCATGAGGTGACTATCCATGCAGGCCATCCCTGAGATCTCCACGCTACCCTGGTTCACCCTCCTCGCCCCACTGCTCTGCCTAATCACCATCCGGGCCACTCGAGACCTGGTGGACGATATTGTAAGTGGGGTCAGGATGGCACTGGCCTCAGGGTGGGAAGTTGGGTGGGAGCCCTGATCCCAGCATGGGGGGGTACAGGATGGGCTCCATGAGCCTTAAGGTGGCTACGAGCCCAAGAATATCAGCCATAGCATTTGTGGTGTACTCTGTCATCCTTGTCCTGTAGCCAAGGGCCCTCAGGCCCTGTTAGCCTCATGGTTTTGGTGACCAGAGATCTTGGCAACCACTCTGGGGTTGGGTTAGGCCTTCTTTCTCCTACCCCCAGCAGTTGGATAGACTGTGGGGTGGCTCTGGCTGACGAGGACACACCATTATGAGCAGGAGTGACTGGTCTACAACAGTGTGGAGAGGGGACAGGACCACCTCTCTAACCCCATCCTATTGGCCCAGGGGCGGCACAGGAGTGACCAGGCCATCAACAACAGGTCCTGCCAGATCCTGAGGGGGAAGAGGTGAGGCTGGGGTGGGCATGGAGGGACAGACCTGGACAAAGAAGCTGGAGTACAGAGCAGGGGGCACAGTGAGCAGGATGCTCACAGAATGGCCAGCACTTTCCATGCTCCTAGATACCCTGTTTGAGTCTGACCAGGACCTAGGCCTGTATTTATGAGACATCTGCTGTGTACTAGGCCTGGAGTCAGCCAAGGGATAGGGACAAAGAGGCCATGGATTCTTGAGGAGCACACAGTTCATACAAAGGAGACTGAAAAGGACTTGAATAGATGATCCTGATGTCACTGGACAGAGATACGGACTCTATGCAGAGAGGCAGAGGTCAGGAAAGGCTTCCTGAGGGAAGCAGCCACTGAACTGGTCTTGCAGGAGGGATCAACAGGAGCAAAGGCAGGGAGGTGGGAACTCTGGCCCCCTGCCCTCTGCTCGCCCAGCATGGGCTTGGGCTATGGGAAAGCGGCCAGGGCCTTCTTGTATCTCCCTTCTGCAGCTTCACGTGGAAGAAATGGAAGAATCTGTGTGTGGGAGACGTGGTGTGTCTCAGAAAGGACAGCATTGTACCGGTGAGTCATTGTCACCCCTGTGGAGCGCCCCTGGGAAAGGCTTCCCACCCTGTCTTCCATCCCCCTATAATCTTGTGTCCTCCCTGCCCCATTACAGGCCGACCTGCTCTTGCTGGCCAGCACAGAGCCCAGCAGCTTGTGCTATGTGGAGACTGCTGACATAGATGGGTAAGAAGCCATGACATCCCTGGGGTCTGGGAGAAACCTGAGGCTACCAAAAGAGGGCTGGAGTAGCCTTCTCAGGTCTCCAGTCACTCACCCCATGAATATTTATGTGGGAAAGACCTACGAGGCATGGAGCAAGCTTTTCCAACCTGCTTATTTCCAGAGTAAGATAAAGCAGAGGAGGGGACCTGCATCCCAGGCACCAGAGTATCTGCAGGCCCTACTGCATGCTAGGCAAGAAGGCCTAGGCCCTGACCTGGCCCTTTGCAAACATGCGGTGCATCGTGGGCAAGGCCCTTTCCCTCTCTGGGCCTCAGCCTTACACTTGACTGCTGGTTCCCAGTAGGTGCTCAGCATAATGTTCAAGGGTCTCTGGGAGGAGGCGTGCCTCCGTGCCCCATGGCATCATTCATCAACACCTTTTCACCACCTCCTGCACCTTCCTGCCTCTTCTTCTAACCAGGGAGACCAACTTGAAGTTCAGACAGGCTCTGACAGTCACCCACCATGAACTGACCAGTCCAAGGAAGATGGCGCACTTCCAGGGTGAGTGGGAGGTGTAAGTAAATCCCATGTGTCCATCTAGGCCTCTGTTTGGCAGGCTTGATGATGCTCCTAGGGTAAACAATGGTGGTGGGTGTCAGGTGGGGTCCAGCACCCACCTAGTGCAGCCAATTTTCACTAAGTTGTTCTCTATAATGTGTATTTGCCAGCCTTTTGGGTCTAGGTTGCTACTAACAGATTGGTTTGTCCCAGGAATATTTCATGTTGCCTCCATCAGTGCTAAAGCTGGGATATTTTTATGTCTTGCTATGACTGCAAATGTGTGACAGCATTTCACTAGGTGTTGCATTTTATTTTTAAAACATGAGAACTACATTGATTTTGGTGGGACTGGGGTTTGAATTCAGGGTTTCGTGCTTGCAAAGCAGGTGCTCCACTGCTTGAGTCAGTCCACTTTGCCCTAGTTATTTTGAAGAGGAGTCTCTTGAACTTTTTTTGCCCAGCCTGGCCTCAAACCACAATCCTCTTAATCTCTGCCACCCAGATAGGATTACAGGTATGAGACAATAGCACCTGGCCATTTTTGGTTGTTTTGTGAAAGAGGCAACCCATATGCTGGGGATGACGGTCCAAATAAAGAAAAGGTCCACAGGAAAAGGATGCCATCCCCACCCCACACAACTGCAGTTTCTTATTTTCCACCTGAAAACATTTCACTTGCATGGTGTGGATACAGTTACCTTTTGCTAACTGATACAGCTTTGTTTTTTTCCTAACTTATTGCAAAGGCAAGTTAACAGTTTTTTATTTTCCTGTATTATTGCAAATGCAAGTCAGTCTCAGAGGTTCAGGCACAGAATCTATCTCTCAAACCAGCCAAGCCCGGGTTTCTCCTGTCCATGAAAGGACATAAGGGATAAGGGCTAGGCATGGTGGTGCACACTTATAATCCTAGCATTTAGGAGGAAGATCACAAATTTGAGCTCAGTGTAGGCTACATAGCAAGACCTGAATAAAAAAGAAAAAGAAATTTGAATAAAGGCCAGCTCCGGCAGAAGGTGGCTATACTCATCCTCTCCTTTGACTGTCCTGACTTTCTAGAATGCTGCCAATGCTTTGCCACTTGATCCCATGTGGAAGATAGGCTCAAAAAAAGAGGCAGTGACCCCCAATGCAGCACTTTCCCCCCACATCCCAGAGATCCCAGATACTCTGTCCAGAGGCTTTCTCTAGGCTGTGGTTTGTCATCTGCCACCTCAGGGCATGGCTCCATTTTTCAGATAAGGAGACTGAGGTTTCAGAGAGGTGCTGCCTCTGTCTCCACCCTAGACATTTCCAATTCCTTCCTTCAGGACAGCCAAGCTCTTAGTCCCTAAGATAGAATGACCTCCTCAGCCCTCTACATTGTGGGGTCCCAGCCCACACCCCATAGTTATTTTAATGCTCACCAACTTTGCACTGAGCCTGTATTTGCAACTGAGCCCATTTTCTCAAAGAAGAGCGAGACCATCAGCCACCTGCTGCAAGTGACAGTGAGTGGCATGATGGTGGATGGGCCTAGCATGCAGTAGGTGCTGGGTGAGGCTCTTTTGAGGATCATCTCTTATCACCTTCCCTCCTCATGCATTACAGAGTACATATTGTGTGCCAGGTGCCAGGCCAGGCTCTGGGATTACTGTGTGATTGAAAGTAGGCTCACAGATGATAATGATGAGTCACATGAATAAACATGCATAAATGTCTAGCAGTATCCTAGGATCCAAGCACAAGGGAGAAGACTGGGCAGGGCTGCTTTGTCTCGAGGATCAGGTTGTGTGTGCAAAGGGCCTGAGGCCATAAAGCCTGTTTTGGAGTGTTCTAGGGAGGAAAATGGTAGAGTGGGGTGACAGTGGGGGAAGTTTGGGGCATTACAGGTCCTATAAGGGTGAAGGGCTGGCAGGGAGCCACAGGAGGACGATTTGCACCCAGTCATACCATGGTTGCTGATGGCCACAGGCACAGTAATATGTGAGGAGCCCAACAGCCAAATGCACCACTTTGTGGGGAGCCTGGAGTGGAACAGCAGAAAATATTCCCTGGGCATTGGTAACCTGCTCTTGCGTGGCTGCAGGATCCACAACGTGGATACCTGCTACGGCCTCGTCATCTACACTGGTAAGGTCACACAGAGGCCCGAGAATGCCCCATATGGGTGGGGTGGGGTGAGGCAACAACCCTGAAGTCATTGACGAGAACTGGCAAAGCCAGGCATGACTGCTGTAGACCTGCTGAGAAATGTGGGCTCTCGTGGTTTGGCTTTTCTGGGCACTAAATTATGTAAAAATGGACATGTTCAGACAAAGCCTTGTTTTGGATGAGCAAATGGGTGATCTCTCTGGGACCTAGACCTTTAGCCTTCTCTCTACTGGGGTCCCATCCCCAGAAGATAGAAAGTTAGGTGGATGGGTGAATGAATGGATGGGTGAGTGGATGAATGAATGGATGGGTGAATGGATGGATGGGTGGGTGGATGGGTGAATGAATGGATGGGTGGGTGGATGGATGGGTGGATTGGTGAGTGGATGGATGGGTGAGTGGATGGTGGATGGATAGATGGATGAATGGATGGATGGATGGATAAATGGGTGGGTGGATGGGTGGGTGGATAGATGGGTGGATGCAGTTCCTACAGGTGCTGACACAAAGATCATGAAGAACTGTGGCAAGATCCATTTGAAGAGGACCAAGCTTGACCTCCTCATGAACAAACTGGTGGTCTTGGTGAGCTTCCAACCAGATTCCTTGCACAGAGGACATTGAGGAGGAGTAGGGAAAGGCGCCCATCTTATTGAGAGATATTCTAGCCTTTGTGTTCTGGGCCTCAGTTTCCTTCTTTCTCAGCAAAGTGTACAAGCTGAGCTGGGCCAGAGAATCTTTGTTAATACAATTTTGTAAATGTTTTAGTCCGAGGGTGTAGCTCACTGATGGATCACTTGCCTAGCATATTTTTAGAAAATAAATTTTGAGTCAGGCATCAGTGGCTCATGCCTGTAATCCCAGCTTCACAAGAGATCAAGAAGATTGTCGTTCAGGCAAATAGTTTGAGAGCCCCTAACTCAAAAATACATATATGCAAAAAGGGTTGGTGGAGTGGCTCAAGTGGTAGAGCTCCTGCCTAGCAAGTGTGAGGCCCTGAGTTCAAATTCCAGTATAGCCAAATAAATAGACAGATTAGGCAGCTAGCTAGCTAGCTAATAATAATTGCTAGATAGATAGTGATACTGGTTTCCAAACCTATATGAAATACTAAAATTCTTACACCCCCCCATCCAAACCAGGTAATCCGTAAGTCTGTATACTCATCTTCATGAGTTTTATATATTACCATAATAAAAAATAAACCACAAAAGCCCGGCAAAGAGTCTGGGAGCATTCCTTCCCTGACCCCCTTCCTGCCCCATCCCGGTCCACCTCACTCTGGGGACCTCCTATCTCCAACCTTGTCCTTTTGCATGGGCGCGTCCCTGTCAGTGAATCCCTGGGGTTCTCAGGGCACCCCGGCCCTTCCACACCTTCCATCTCCCATCTGCCTTGTAGATCTTCCTGTCCCTGGTGGTCATATCCTTGGCCTTGACCCTGGGCTTCAGTTTCATGATCAAAGACTTCAAATTGAAGCATTATTATGTGTCTGCCATGCACACGAAGACTGTGGTCATGGAGTCCTTCTTCATCTTCTGGAGCTTCCTCATCCTTCTCAGTGCCGTGGTACCCATGACCCTGTTCATCATGTGAGTCCTGCACCCCACTAGGGTGTGTTCTTTCCTCAGATGGGGCAAAGGGAGGCCCCCGAGGCAGTGGACAGGGACAGGCAGAGGCGTAACAGCCATGTTTTGCAGAGCTGAATTCCTCTACCTGGGGAACAGTCTTTTTGTCAACTGGGACAATGCAGATGTTCTTCAAGCCTCAGACCACACCTGCCAAGGCCCGAAGCACCAGCCTCAGTGACCAGCTGGGCCAGGTGCAGTACATCTTCTCAGACAAGATGGGCACGCTCACACAGAACATGATGACCTTCAACAAGTGTTGTATCAACGGCCACGTCTACGGTGGGGACCCCCTGCCCACCTCTTCACCATTTCCCTCTGCCCCAAGAGAGCAGTGCCCAAGGGTCTTCAAATGCCCCAACACCTGAGTCAGGGGCTGGGTGCCCTAGGCTCAGGGGCACAGTGGTCACCACACCCCACCCTTTTCCCCAAAATTGCTATCACAGGTCATGATCACATTGCTGTAGGCCTAGCATGTGACCCCTGAGAACTTGAGCTTGGAGCAGGGCTGTGGGACCCCAAGTTTGAGCTCCCAGTGAGCCAAATCCTAAAGCTGTCTTTCCCCAGGTCCAGATGACGAGGATGGGACCCACCATCATGTGAGCACCTCTGTCCTTGCGCCACTAGAAGATGGGGGATGGGCAGGGACCCACCCAGGGACAGCCTGTCCTGTCCCCCCACCACCCTCAGGAGAAGCCCTACATGTGGAATGAATTTGCAGATGGGAAACTCCTTTACTACAACAAGCAGCTTTTGCACCTCGTGCAGCACAGGCAGGACAGGGTGGTGCAAGAGTTCTGGCGACTTCTTGCCATCTGCCACACAGTCATGGTCCAGGAGAAAGACAGTGAGTGCGTGGCCCACCAGGCTCTGCCGCTCCTCCTTGGAGAGGGCTCCCAAGATGGCTCCCTAGCCCCAGGGTTGCCTGACCCTGCCTAACCCAGTCTCCCAGGTACAACGTGAAGGGTGCTCAGCCATATCCCAGGCCCCCCACTTGAAGGCTATCCAGGCCTGGAGCTACAAGATAGCTCAGTATTGGTATTGCGGGGGGACAGTGTGTGGCTGTCAGGGATGAGGAAGTCCAGGCCTGGGATTCGAGCCCCGAGAATCTGGTGTGAAGTGGGGACGTTGTGTAGATAGGGGCTCGTGGGTATAGTAGTTGAACAGGCTCCGAGAATCATTATTCCACAAGTATTCATGAGCACCTATGTTCCTGTCTCCTCCCCTCCACCGTGATGCATGACCCCAGAAGAGCCCGTATAAAGCAAGCTCTGGGAGGAGAAGGGACAGAAGGGTGTGAATGTCACTGCCGTTCCCTCACCAGACCAGCTGTCGTACCAGGCGGCTTCCCCAGATGAGGAGGCTGTAGTCACCGCAGCCAGGAACTTGGGCTACGTGTTCAGGTTACGCACCCAGGACACCATCACCGTGGTGGAGCTGGGGGAGGAATCTACCAGGTCCTGGCCATGATGGACTTCAACAGCGCTCGCAAGCGGATGTCTGTGCTGGGTGAGTTCCGATCCTAGCTAGGGGCGGGTGGGAGGGAAGCAAGTGAGAGCAGCCTGGTCTCTCTCTCTCTTCCCACAGTTCGAAATCTGGAAGGCTCCATCTGCCTCTACACCAAGGGTGCGGACACAGTCATCTTGGAGCGCTTGCGTGAGAGGGGTGAAACGGAGGTGACCACAGAGGAAGCCTTGGTTGTAAGTCCCAGCTGGGGATAGGTGCACACACGCGCGCATATGTGTTTGTGCGTGTGTGTGTGTGTGTGTGTGTGTGTGTGTGTGTGTGTGTGTAAGCAGGGACAGAGGACAGAGGGAGGAGGAAAAAGAGAGAGTAGGTAGAGGAACGGCCGCAGCCCCTTGAGGCAGCTATGTACAGTTGGGCAGGTTGTGCAGTGCACACAGCATTTTCTCCCTCCCACCTCCCACCCATCTACAGAGGCTGGGAGGGGACTGAACTCCAAATCATACCTACCCACACAGGATGTGCTTCCCTAATTCACACAAAGACATGAAATCTGTAGATAGATTGGGCTTTGGCTCCTAGAACTCAACCGGGCCTGGGTTCTAGGACACAATAAGCTTTCCCTGCTCAGTCCTTCCTCTCCATGGGTGAGGCCAAGGCTCCTCAGCTCATCATTTGAGGTTTTCTCTTCCTGTTTTCAGCTGGCCTCCCTCCCTCAGTCTTTCCCAGGATCCCAATTTCTAACTTGTTATCCGCCTCCCTGTGTTCAGGTGACACCTTGAGGCCTTGGTACATTTGATCCTTCTGATGCTTTTGTCACAAGCTTTTAGTCCTCCAGGCCCAGCCACCAGGCCTCCCCCTTCAGGGTGCCTTTTCTGCTCCAACCCCCTTATATGGAGCCCTTGCCAACCCCTAGACTTTTTCCCTCTGGCACAGTCCTGACCCTACAGGTTTATAGCTGCTGTGTCCAGCCAGGGGCTCCCCCAGAGCCTTTCTGGGGGAACCTAGGGTGCCCTGCTCTGCTAGGAGGAATGGGACTCAGGTATCTGGTCTCTCAGAATAAAGATCTAGAGCCCAGGAGCTCATCAAGATGGATCTATGGAGCAGGTGGGTGAACTGAGGCTGCAGGAAGATGTCTGGAGCCCTGCTGTGCCACTTGAGCCTGACCTCTCATGCCGTCTCGCCCCCAGCAACACCTGGGGTCACCCTCTGGAGCTCAAGGCTTGGGGCAGGTGTGAAATGAGGTAAAGTCCTCTTTCTGGGGACCTCCAGGGCCCTGGTCATCTTCAGGTGTGAGTGTACTCTGGGACTGCCTGAGGGTGCCTGAGACACAGAGCCCTGAAGGACCCCTGGGTGTTCCCTAAGGCTGCGGGAGTGGCGCCGGGCTGGAGAAGTCCTGACTGGGGAGTGGTCCAGGAGGGCTACACAGAGGGAAGTCTGAGTCTGCTGTGATAAGTGAGGTGCAGGACAGGTTGTCTGTGGGAACGTGCTTTGTACAAAGACCTGGTGTCAAGAGGGAGACAGAGCAGGTGTGGGGTTGGGCGGTGACAGCTTCAGCCTCCACAGGCCTTTGCAGAGCAGACCTTGCGAACACTGCCTGGCCTACAAAGAGGTGGCTGAGGACGCCTATGAGGAGTGGGAGTCCCAACATCACGAGGCCTGTCTCCTGCTACAGAATCGGGCACAGGCCCTGCAACAGGTGTACAACAAGATGGAGCAAAACCTTGAGGTAGGCAGATGCATGGGGGACTGATGAGTGAAACCCGGGGTCCCACATTAGGGAGCTCCATCCCCACTGGGGCTTCTCTCTGAGTCCCACCTCTCCCCTAGCTACTGGGAGCCACAGCCATTGAGGACAAACTCCAGGATGGTGTTCCAGATACTATCAAGAGACTCAAGAAAGCAAACATGAAGGTATGGGTGCTCACAGGGGACAAGCAAGGTGGGTGTCTGATCTCTGTCTGCCCCCCACACAGATCCTGTAACTATCTGAAGTTCAGCCATGTGCCTGTCCCATTTCTTTGGGTCAAGCATTGCCTTCCACGTTGTCCCTGGGAAAGGGAGAGACAGAAGTAATAACACCTGGGTGACAGTCAGGGTGCCTCCCATGGCCAGTGCGTGGTGAGCTTTGTCCTCACAATAGTACTACAAGGTGGGGGCCCTTGCTACTACCCACATGGGCAGTGGGCATAGCAGGGCTCAGAGTGCTCAAGGCACCTGCCCGGAGGTTTCCAGCCATATAAGAACAATGTCCCACTTTTGGATTCCCCAGGATTCTGCTTCTCAGAGAATGTGGCACATGCCTGCAGCATTAGGAACTGCATTAGCACTTTTGTGGGCCCCTTCCACACCCCGTCACACCCCCACCCCATAACACTCACACTCACAAATGTTAAGAATGTATTCTAGCCAGGCTCACACCTGTAATCCTAGCTACTCAGGAGGCAGAGATCAGGAGGATTGAAGTTTGAAGCCAGTCCAGGCAAACAGTTTGTTAGAGACCCTATCTCAAAACTGTCCAACACAAAACAGGGCTGGTAGAGTGGCTCAAGTGGTTGAGTACCTTCCTAGCAAGCGTGAGGCCTTGAGTTCAAACCCCAGTACCACCACCAAAAAAAATGATATTCTAAGGCTGGAGGCGTGGCTCAAGTGGTTCAGCACCTGCCCAGCAAAGTGTGAAGCCCCGAGTTCAACCTCTGGTACCACCAACAAAAAAGGAGAGTGACATTCTAACAGTATGTAAAGACATTTTTTTCTTTTTCTTTTCTTTCTTTCTTCTTTTTTTTTTGCAGTACTGAGGTTTGAATTCAGGGCCTCATGATTGCTAGCCAGGCGCTCTACTACTTAAGTCACTCCTCCAGCCATAAAGACAAATTGAGGCAGAATTACATTTGCCTTTTTCCCCTTTCAGATTTTAAAAGAAACTAGGACATTTTGGGGGGTTCTTAAAAGCTTTCTAGGCCCTAGACAAGTCATGCCTGATAGTCCAGGACTCAAACTCACCTCTCTGGGGGTAGTGTAGCCTTTACCAGGCCAACAGCCAGCCCCTTTGCTCAAAGGGGCAGCCAAGGTCTCAGAACTGGCCCTCATTGGTCGGCCTCGGTGATGAGCCCTGCTCTGAAAAAATCACCACGGCTAGAAGGTGGGGTGCACTACTGCCACTGGCTGAACTGGGAGGAGGGTCTAGGGGGCAGGGTGGGCGTGGCGACCAGGCAGAGCAGGGGAGACCCTGAGCTGGGCTGATTTGCAGAGACTGCAGTGAACATTGGCTTTGCCTGCCAGCTACTGACAGAGAACATGTTCATTCTGGAGGAGAAGGAGATCAAGTAAGCAGGTAGCCCAGGAGGAGGGGGCAAGGACCCGAGGGCCCATGGCCCAGACAGGGCTCTCCTGGGCACCTGAAGTGTGTCCTCAGATCTGCCTGGCAGGCAGCCTGACTGCCCCTTCACCAGAGGGGGAAACCAAGGCATGTGGGGCGATGGGAGAGATGGGCAGCCCAGGCTGACACCCGCTTTCCTGCAGCCACATCTTGGATACATACTGGGAGAGCAACAACAACCTGCAGGGCCCGGAGAACAAGCTGAGGTTTCTGCCATGGGTCAACATGGCCATGGTCATTGACGGAGACTTCCTGGTCAGTGGTAGCTGGAGGTGGCCAGTGGGGTCCCTGGTGTGGAGGAGGGGACCTGGGAGGAGCATCAGGCTGGCGGTGGGGCCTCAAGGTGCCTGGGGTAAGAAGGGGGCTGCTGTGAGTTCAAATGGAAACCCCAAGAGATTGGACCCAGAGGAACTGCAGTGAGGGGGAGACAGGTCAAATCCAACCAGGGAGTTCCATAGGAGGCCCAGCTGAGGACAATCGACTGGGGTCGGGGGGACAGACCAAATGACGTGGACCCTCCTTCTCACCATGCAGGACCAGCTGCAACTGTCTTTGCACAAGGAGCCCCTGGCCCTGACCCAATACATGGTGGTAGATGGGGTTTGTCAGGAGCCAGGCCAGATGAGGAAAGACTTCCACCCAGCCAGGCAAATCTCCCAGATGTGGCAGAATTTAAGGGCCCCGCTGGCCCCAGCACAGTCCAGGACCTCAAAGAAACACAAGAACCCAGAGGTGCAGCGGGAGCAGGCCTTCGTGGACCTGGCCTGCAGGTGCCAGGCAGTCATCTGCTGCCGGGTGATGCCCAAGCAGAAGGCCTTGGTTGTGTCACTAGTCAAGAAATACCAGCAAGTGGTGACCCTGGCCATTGGGGATGGGGCCAATGACATCAATATGATCAAGAGTGGGTGGCTGTGGGGAGCAGGGGCGGGGGGCATGGGACTCCTCTGACAGTCAACCAAATGGCTGACACCGCCCCCCTCATGTACCCTGCAGCTGCAGACATCGGTGTGGGGCTGTCGGGTCAGGAGGGCATGCAGGCAGTGCAGAATAGTGACTACATGTTGGCCCAGTTCTGTTTCCTACAGCGGCTGCTGCTGGTTCATGGACGCTGGTCCTACATGCGGGTCTGCAAGTTCTTGCGCTTCTTCTTTTACAAGACAGTGGCCTGCATCATGGGCCAGATCTGGTTCTCCTTCTACAGTGGCTTCACTGCCCAGGTATGTGGTGGGTGGAAAGAGCCACCTAAGTTGCCTGCCTGCTCCGGGCAGCTGTGGGTACAAACCTTGGAGTCCAACTGGGTGTGGTGGTACATGCTTGTAATCCCAGAATTTGGGATTGAATCTCAAAAAATATGTATATTTTTAAAAGTCTGGGTCTCCCTCCCACTGGAGGTCACAAAACCTTGTATAAGGTTGCATTCACAGAAGTATAGTCCAGATAAAGGGGGATATGGTTCCTGTTCCCTTCTCTGCTAAACATTTTCAGGGATATTTGGCAAATTAGAGCTCTGAAGCAAGGGAAGATGCCCCAGATGTGCCCCCCGGGGGGGAGAGGTGAGATTGTGGGAGCTTGGTCCCCAGCTTCTGGACTATTAATGGTGACAAAGACTAGATGTGCTCTTTGGTACCTTAGAGGAGCCATAGGGCAGTGATTATCCCTGCATGTAAGAAAACTGTGGAAATAAATTTTGTGAGAGGTGATGGCTCCTGTTGCTGATATGTAGCCATTTGAGAGGGAGCTCTACCTAAGCTCCCTCTTCACAGAGGTACATACTGCTTTGTTGTTTTTTTTTGGGGTGGGGGAGAGGTCTTTTTTTTTTGTCTTTTCTTTTTTGGTGCTGGGATCGAACGCAGGGCCTCACGCATGCTAGGCTAGCGCTGTGCCACCGAGCTACATCCCAGCCCTTTTTTTTTTTTTTTTTGTAGGATTGGAGTTTGAACTCAGGGCTTCCCACTTGCAAAGAATGCATTCTGCTGCTTGAGTCATACCTCCAGTCCATTTGGGTTTGATTATTTTGAAGACAAGGTCTTGAGAACTGTTTGCGGGGCTGGCCTCAAACTGGGATGCTCCCAATAGCATCAGCCTCCCAAATAGCATATACCACCACATCTGGCTTTTTTGTTGTTGTTGTTTTTGGTTTTACTAAGGTTTGAACTCAGGGTCTCTTGCTTGCTGGGCATGGGCTGTACAACTTGAGCCACGCCCCCAGCCTTCAATTCGCTTTTTGAGTCAGTCACTGCCAGTATACGGTAGGAAACACCAGACATAACATGTATCCATTTTGTGCCCTGCATTGGTTTATCAGACCTAGCTTTCCTGTGGATACTTTGGGGAGTTTACATACAGGACCTGTGACCTGTCTTTCTTCTTGCTTCCAAATTTGGATGCCTTTTATTTATTTTCCTTGCCTATTTGTTCTGCTAGGATTTCCAGTTCCATGTTGAACAGCAACAATGAAAGGGAAAACTTGAATTTTCCCACAGCATTTGCTTGATTCTTCTGCAGGGAGGGTGCCTCTTTCCCCCATTTACATGTTCAACTATAATTTCATATCAGGGGCTGGCGGAGGGGCTCAAGTGGTAGAGTGGCCTGCCTAGCAAGCGAGAGGCCCTGAGTTCAAACCCCAGAACTGTCAAAAAAAAAAAAAAAAAAAAAGAAGAAGAGAAGTGCCCAAGATTAAGACTACAAATTTGCTGTTCACTGGTGGCTCACACCTGTAATCCTAGCTACTCAGGAGGCAGAGATCAGGAGGATCATGGTTCAAAGCCAGCCCAGACAAATAGTTCCACGAGACCCTATTTCAAAAAAAAAAAAAAAAATCACAAAAGTAGGGCTAGTGGAGTGGCTCAAGGTGAAGGCCCTGAATTCAAATCCCAGTACCACAAAAAAACTACAAATTTATCCAAATTAATGTTGGTTCTTGGACATTTTATTTGTTTTATATTTCTGTGGCCCAAATTGTCTTAGAATTATCCTTTTGTCCTGCACCTTCTGCTCTCTGGACATATCTTTCACTCTGGCACCATGGAGGCACTGGGCTGGATTTGCACTTTTCTTCCCCAGCCCTGGGACCAGCCATCCCGAAGGGAGCCCTGGTTCCTTTCATTAGAGAATTGATGTTAGACACCAAGAACTGAGTGTGTGGTGTGCTCAGTGCTCTGGGATGCTGTTACCCTGTCAGAGGACATCGACCTATCATCTATATTTATCTGTAGATGTGTATTTCACCTATCTGTCATTTGTATCATGTGTTTATCATCTCCATCTGTTGTCTGTATTTATCTGTACCATCTACATCTGCCATCTATAAATCCATCTGCAGCGATTATCTATTTCTCATCTCTGTGTACCATCTATATCTATTATATTTACCTAACTTATCTATAAATCATCTCCAGCTATCAACCATCCATCATTTATCCATCTACCTATACTATCAACCTGTTTTATCAGTTAATCTATCATATCAGTCATCTTTGCATATCATCTATATCAGTCATATCTGTCATCTGTGTAACCTACCATCTTTCATTTATCTATTTTCTAGCATCTATACATATCTCTATTATTATCTATTCATTTATATTTATTATCTATCTACCTATCTTATCCATCATATTTTTTCTAGATTTCATGGTTCTGTTTCATATATGTGTATGAAATGTATCAACCATATTCAATTGGCATTTTTTTAATTACTGTGTTGAGTAGGAGTACATTGTGGCATTTACAAAAGTTCTTACAATATATAAAATACATCACACTTGAATTCACCCCCCTCCAGTTGGCATATTTTAATGTCTTTTTTTATACAATATACTCTCCTGGTTGATCTTTGTCTATATTGAGAATTCTTTTTTTATTATTATTATTGTGCTGGGGGTACATGTGACATTTACATAAGTTCTCACAGTATATCATAGTTACATTCACCCCCTCCACCATTCTCCTTTATCCCCTCTCCCCCTTGTCTATCATATTTATCATGTATCATCTATATATCAGTCATCTATCCTGTCTGTGTATCTTGGCTATCAATCCTCTATCATCTGTCTAGATAAACTATCACTTATCCATCTATATCATCTATCATCTCTACCTATCTATTCACCTATATGTATCTGTCATCTGTTGTATTAGTCTTATCTATCAATCACCTTTTAGATATTTGATCTGTCATCTAGATAATCTAACATCTATCTTATCTATTTATCAATCATCTATCTTTTTAAAAAAATTAATTAAAACTGAGGTTAATTTATTTAATTAGTTCAAACTGAGCTTTGAATTTATAGCCTCCTGCTTGGTAGGCAAGCACTTTGTCACTTGAATTGTGCCCCCAGCCCTTTTTCAGATAAGGTCTTATGTTTTTGCCTCGGCTAGCCTCAGACCAAGATCCTATGGCGTCCTGCATAGCTGGAACCTCAGACACACAGCTCCATGCCCAGCTTGTTAGTTGAGATGGGGGTCTCACTAACTTTTTACTTGGTTGGCCTTCAGCCTTAATCCTTCCAATCTCCACTTCCTGAGTAGTTGGAATTAAAGGTGTGAGGCACCCGGCCTGACTTCAGCTCTCTATTTTTTCTATCTGTACCTCTATTTTATCTATCATATATTTATGATGTTTCTTGGTTGTTTTTTTTTTTTTGAGATAGGGTCTCAAAACTATTTGCCCGGCTGTCTTCGAACCTTGATCCTCTTGATCTCTGCCTCCCAAGTAGCTAGGATTGCAGGTGTGAGCCACAGATGCCTGGCTTCATCTGTATTTATATCTGTCTCTATCTGTCTTATCTATTTTTCATCTGTATTTATCTACCTATATCTAGCTCTGTCTGTTATATATGTCTATGTCCATCCACTGCCTTTCTGACTGCACATGTTAGAACCTGCAAGTGCACTCACCCCGACCCCATCCCCTAGCACATAGCCCCACTCAGCCCTTACCTCCCCTGTTCTTCTCCCCATCCTAGAATGCACGTGAAGTGATTTCAGGTTGAAATACACATCCATTTTTAGCTGGACTGGGTTGCCATGTCGGGAGGAGCTCTCCCAGCTCTTCACCCATCAGGGGTTCCCCTTAAGTCTAAGCTAGTGCGACTCTGGCATGATCGGGAAGCACATTCTCTTGAGGCATTTCCCACCTGCAACTCTTAATGGAGCCATCAGGTACAACTTGCTGTTTGGAGGTGTGCTTTCGAAGAGCTGACTGCAAGTCTCCCTACTTTTTATCTCCCAGCTCTCATCAAGCCCCCTTAACGAAACCCTGGACTTAAGCCCAGCTTTGATTGTACGGTAATTGCCTTGTTCACCTGGGTCCTTCCCCAAGTGTCTTTGCCCAGGCTCAGCTCCTGGGTGAAGATGCATTTGGGCCCCTGGCCTTCAGGCCTCTGAAGGCCATCTTTGTCTCCTTTTCTGCTCTGTGCACAGCCCCTGTATGAAGGCTGGTTCCTGGCCCTCTTCAACCTGATGTATACCATCCTCCCGGTCCTCTACATTGGGCTCTTTGAGCAGGTGAGCAGAGACCTGTCTGGCCTACTCCTCCCTGGGTGGTCCAGATGGGGTGCAGCCTGGCACCCCTCTCTGTAGCACCCCACTAAAGGTTATCTGCTCCCCACGGAGCTGTCTCATGGGAGGTGGGGGCTGTTGGAGGGGCCTCTTGTGAGCTCCTCCTCTGTGGGAGCCCTGCATCCTGAGACCCAGGCCCTCTGTCGTCCACCTAAATGGCCTGGAGTGGGGAAGGGGGTCTCCTAGAACATTGCAGAACAGTGGGGATGGGGAGGAAGCAAATTTTATATTTCTTTCATGTAACCCAGAGCCTTGAGCTTGCTTGAGCACATGCTATCCACTCAGCTACATCTCAGCCCTTAAGTTGCTTTTGATTTTTGTTTTGTTTTTTGACAGTACTGGAGATGGAACCTAGTGACTTAGCCTTGCTAGGCAAGCACTCTACCACTGAGCCACCTCCCCAGCCCTTTAGTTTTGTTTTAAGATAGGATCTCATTATGCAGCCCCAGCTGTCCTTGAACTTGTGATCCTCCTGCCTCAGTCTCCCTCCTGATTGCTGGAATTGTAGGCATGTACCACCTCGCCCAGCATCCTTACATTTTAAAAAGTATAGTGAAGTACAAACACAGTCGTTCCTTAGGATTCTTTAGGTCTTAGTCTCAGGACCTCTGTGGACACCAAGACCCACAGATGTTCAAGTCCATTATAGCAAATGGTGTAGTATTTACACAGGACCTGTGCACATCTTCTGGTCTTTATACGATCTAAAACCTGGTACAATGGAAATGCTGTATACAGTGGTCACACTGTATTGCTTAGGGAACAGTGATAAGGAAAAAAATCTATGCTCACATTCAGGACAAAAATTTTTTTTTTCAAAATCTTTTCTGCCTACAATTGGTTGGCTCTGATCACACAGGGACCTCGGATACCCAGGGCCGATTACAATGTGAAAGTCTCCGTCTACGCTCTTACAAGTGCACAGTTCAATAGTGTGCCAAGTGTGGTTGTGCAACCGAGCTCCAGAACTCTCTACATCTGCTTTTTCTTTTTTTTTTTTGCGGTGTGGGATTTAAACTCAGGGCCTACACCTTGAGCCACTCCTTCTGTCCTGTTTTGTGTTGGGTTTTTATCAGATAGGGTCTGGAGAACTATTTGCCCTGGCTGGCTTTGAACCGTGATCCTCCTGATCTCTGCCTCCTGAGTGGCTAGGATTACAGGCGTGAGCCACCAGTGCCAGAGCATCCATTTTGTTTTAACCCAGTTGAACTCACATTGCCACATGTGGTGAGTGGCCAGACGGCACCCACTGCCCTATCTCAAGAGCCTTTTCCCCTGCCCAGGATGTGAGTGCCGAGCAGAGCCTGGAGATGCCAGAGCTGTACATGGCGGGCCAAAAAGATGAGCTCTTCAACTACTGGGTTTTCTTGCAAGCCATTGCCCATGGCATATCACTTCTCTGGTCAACTTCTTTATGACATTGTAGATCAGCCAAGACACAGCAGGGCCCGCCAGCCTTAGTGACTACCAGTCCTTCACAGTTGTTGTGGCCCTATCAGGCTTGCTGTCTGTTATCATGGAGGTAGGTGGGGCCATGGTCCAGCCCCCACCCCCAGGGGCCATCTGACCTCTTCTTGAGGTGAAGGGGGGCCCACAATGTACCCTGACCCAGCCCCGTAGCCCTGGCTAACCCCTCTCTTCCTCTCCAGGTTGTCCTGGTCATCAAATACTGGACTGTCCTGTGCACGGTGGCTGTTCTGCTCAGCCTTGGCTCCTATGCAGTCACGACATGTCTCACCCAGAGCTTAGGGCTCTACAGGATCTCCCCACCAACGTTCCCATTTCTCTGTGAGCCCTGTGAGGGGGGCATGATGGATGCCTCTGACCTGGGAGCATGGTGGCCCCAGGCACAAAATGCAGCCTGAGGATAGCCACACAGGTGGCAGGTGGATTTCAACATTTGCCTGGCAAATGGTCCCAAGGAAGGGGCTGAGGTCTGGGAGGTAGTCTAGGGCATCCATGGGGATGAAGAGAGGGGAAGGAAGCCAGATCTCTGCCATACCCTTCACCTTGTCCCCAGATGCTGACTACAACGTGCTTATGCAACCCTCCAGCCTACTGGTGATCCTGCTGAATGTGTCCGTGAACACGCTGCCTGTCCTGGCTTTTCCTGTCATCCACCGTCTCCTCAGGCAGCTGTACCCCAAGGTGAGGCAGGACTGGGGTCCCCTTGCACCTTCCTGGGACCCCTTCAGCCCCTCCTGGCCCTCCCATACTGAACCCTGGAGACTCTTTGTGCTCTCATGGATCCAGACTCCTCAAGAGGGGACATAACACCACATCCTCGCACAGAGGGTCAACCTGCATTCACACACTGATGCCATCAGATACTACCTTGAGGTATCCAGAGTTGAGGTGGAGGTAACAGAAACAACATTGAAATGATTTAGGCAAAAGGAAAGACTTGGGAACACTTAGACACAACCCAAGCAAGGTGAAACTGGTGGCTCACATCTGTAATCCTAGCTATTCGGGAGATTGAAATTGGGAGAATCATGGTTTGAGCCAGCCCTGGCAAATAGTTGTGCCTGCTTTGCAAGCACAAAGCTTTGAGTTCAAACCCCAGTCCCACCAAAAACAGAAAAAGAAAAACCACTCAAGCAGCCATGGGTGAATGAATGCGCATACACACAACATGAACGTCACTTAGCCATGAACAGGACAAGCCTCTGACACGCCCTACAGTGTGGAGGGACCTTGAGGATGATGCTATGTTCAGTGGGAGAAGCAGACACACAAGGGCCCACAAGTGTGTGACACCGCTGATAGGAAAACATCCAAAATAGGAGAATCCAGAGGCAAGAAGTGGACTTGTGGTGCTGGGGGCTCGTGCAGGGATGGGAGTTAGTGTTTTAAGGGGAACAGTTTCAGTTTGGGTTGATGAGAATGTTCTGGTAGTGAATGATGGTGATGACTGCACAGCCATGTGAATGTGCTTAATGCCACAGAAATGTGCACTTAACCATGGCTAAGAAAGTGAACATAATGTTTTTTAAATTTTAATTTTATTGTTTGAGACAGTGTATTGCCATGCAGCTCAGGGTGGTTTTGAATTCATGATCCTCCTGCCTCAGTCTCCCAAGTACTGCAATTACAGGTGTGAGCCACCATGCCCATTATGTTATCATAATAGAAACAGGGTGTACTCACTAGCTCATATAACCAAAACGTGGAAGGGCAAGTGGCAGCTGAGAAGGGCCCAAAACTGACTGGAATAGTAGAGCAGCACTTGGTCACAGACTTGTCGCCTTCTGTTGTTTCTCCCTGCTCAGCTTCTGCTACCTTCTATCACATAGGACACAGTGCTAACTCTTCTGGCTTTGCCGCCAGGGGTGCCCAATGCACCTTCCCAGGGAAGGATTCTGATTAGCTGATCCAGAATGAGGTTCCAGGGTAGACTGTAGTTGGCTCACCTTGGCTCAGGAAGCACCTGGCCAACCGGGTGACCCAAAATCAATCAGCAAAGTAATGCAAACTGATGTCCCTACTGTTCCTCTGTGCTCTGCAGGAGGAGGAGGCCCCAAGTGAGGAAGTCTTCACCATGGAGCACATTCCTTCTTTACACCGGAAGTCCCCTGCCCGGCGCTCCAGCTATGCCTTCTCTCACCAAGAGGGCTATGCACACCTCATCACTCAGGGCACGATCCTACGGAGGTCTCCCAAGGTCAACAGTGAGATTCTCCGTGATTTCCCAATTCCTTCTGATGAAGAAGGCACTCCTTCAAGCCTCCAGGAGTCACTCGGGCCTGCTAGAAAGACAACTTTCTTGGGGAAGAAGATTTGCCAGCCCCAGGGGAGGGAATCCTCTCAGGACAGGCAGCCCTCCTCTGCTGGGAGCTCATTGTTAACTGTGGAAAGGCAGTCCACTCTTTATCCACAAACCCAACCCACTGTCACCAAAAGGTCACCCTCCAATGTGAGCAGGCCATCTGGGTCTTCCCAGAAGACATCGTCACTCCAAGAAAGCCAGCTGTCACCTTCTGAGGACCATTCTCAGCTCTGCCAATCAGTCACTGCCTTCCCACCAGACCTTGGAGAGCCAGCCAGAGTCCTTGGAGGGGAGGTCATTTTTGTGGACAACATTTTGGAAGAGCTGGCCAAATCTCTGGCAAAAGGAACCCCCCCCCCCCGACACAAGGAAAATTCAGAGCCACTTCCCAAGATGACCCACACATCACTGGCAGAGACCCAGCTGCCATGGAAAGGCAGCCATCACCCATGGCTGGAGCAGCTTCTGGTGCCTTTGGAGGACCAATTTGCACCCAGAGGAGCAGTCATTGCCTTCCCCTAATAAATCAGGGCCAGTCCAATCCTACACTTCTGGAGAAGTGAAGCCACCAGAATAGTCTTTCCTGGTTCTTTAAAAAAAAAAAAAAAAAAAAAAATCAAACAAACACTGACTCCTAGTGGTCTTGTGGGGAATTGAAAGGAAAGCTATTTTCATTCAGTAGACAATGTGGGGGGAGCAAAGTCTGCCTAACATCCTTGGCTCCCCACCGCCTGCCGGCCAGCCCTTCCCAGGAAAGTGCATAAGCTCCAACTCTGCCAATCTTCCCAAACCTTCCTCCATCAGGCTGCCCTAGTTTCCTCCCCTCAGATAAGCAATGGGCAGTGACAAGTCTGCATGTTGGGGCTTGTTTGGCTCAGAGGCACCAAGATTCTGATCTTCAAAGGACAGACAGAGCAGGAAGAGACAGGGTCCCTCTTCCCTCCATCCCCTTCCTCCTTCACCAGGTGTGGGATGGAGGAACCCCATTCCTCCCCTCCTGGGCTCATCCCCAGTCGGTCAACACACAAGCCCAGGTGAGTGACTAGAAAATAATTTATTGAAGAAAAAACCAAAACAATAAACCCAGCACAGCAATGGTTAACAATGGTGATGATTTTTTTTTTTAAACCTTTTAAGCCTGTTGCCTGAGGGTGGGAGTGGAGGTGGGGAGGGCTGCTCTTCCCTTATGTTTTAGGGAACCAATGGTCTGAATAGCAAAACCAGCCCTACGTTCTAGTCTTCATTAGAAATACTAGGGACTCCCTCACCACCCTCCCACCCCACACAGATAATCCCCAAACCAACCCTCGTGAGTCTGGTGGGGGAGCCCTAGGGCCTTGATGGCTTGGCTTTGGTTGAACACTTTGGAACAAAAAGGTGAAATAGTGGGGAGCCCCTGTCCTTGCCATCTTCTGCAGACCTGCAGACTGGGGTCCTCTGTCCTGCGGGGTGCGAGACATCCCTCTTGGCCACCCCAGCTCTGCTGAATGGGCCCTGTCCTGGGAAGTGAGCTGTCACCTCTCACCCTGCATCCTTGGGACCTCCCAGGGAGGAAGCACAAGGAGTGCCCAGTCAACCTGTCCACCTCTTTCCTCCCTCCAAGGGCCACTGGGGGTGGTTCAGAAACCTGCTCTCATGGAAAAACAGTCAGGCAGAGAGACATGGCCCCAGAGTCCTTTTTCATGATGCTGGAGACATCATGATGGGGGGCTTGTTCTCCAGAGTCCCGAAGTTGACAGGAGGGAGGGCTGGCTGCAGGGGTGCATCCTCCCACCTCCCAGGCCAGGCAGAAAAGTGAACTCATGCCCAGTCCTGGGCGGGGGAGGCGGTGCCGCTAAGGGTGTCCTGGTGGAGGTGGGTGGGCCTCAGGATTAGAGAAGTTGGAGTACACCCAGCCACTCTTCCCACCTGGGCAACAAGAACCAAATTGCCTGATTGTCTCTCTCTGAACAAGACACTTGAGGGTTCATGCTAAAGTGTAACCAGCCCGGGTAGGGGAAGGTGGACAGTCATGTGCATCCAAGATCCAGGAACCAGGCCAGCAGCCCCTCCCTGGCTGGAGCAGGCAAGTGTGTCATGCAGAGGTCAGGAGGTAAAGGAGGTCCCCAGTGCTCAGGTCCAGCTTGCTCAGGGACCCTCCCCTTCCTTTCCACCTGGGACCTTGGCACCTGCTGAACACAGTTCCTTAGAAAGGGGAATAAAGACACAGAGCAGCTCAAAGAACCACAGAACAGCACTGACTCCGGCATGAAGTACAACATGTGACATGGAACCCCACCCCACCCCCCCATCACTTATTACATTATTGGCAAGAAAGAGTACATTAGCCATGCATCAAATCAAATTCCATCTCGTATTTTTTTTCATTTTTCTTCCTTTTTTTTCTTAAATTACATTTGAACACAGAACACATAGAATAATAAATACTCTTATAAGACATGACTCCAAAAAACGAGGAACAGAACAAGGCAGGGAACAGAAAGGTACACCTGTCTCTCACACGCCCTCTTTCCTCAAAGACTTGTGGAAATAAGAAGTCTGTAAACACCGCCGCCCTCACCCTCCCTCTGGCCACCGGCTTCACTGCCCTGACATTCAATACGTCTCCCACGGAAGCGGTCAAAGAAACGACATGCCATCGTCTGCAAAATTATAATTTAACGGTATAAAGCTTCAAGTCACGTATTCCAAAAACTAGCTAAGGATTTTTTTAATCACATAAACTATACATTAAATATTTTGAGGTATTTCAGAGAGAATTGTCAAAGGCTAGAAGGAATTGTGCTGGAGATCGGGTTCCCACATGGACAAAGGTCTTTGGTAGGTGATGACCAGATGGACATTGAGAGGGGATGGGGTCCATCTGGGCCTAGTGAGGGGCCTGGCCTCACTGGGAGATGGAGCCAGTGCGTGCGTGTGTGTGCGTGTTCCTGTGCGAGATATGTGGTAATGGTGTTTGAAAAGGATCCACTGGGGCTGGGTGCAGCTCAATGGTAGAGTGCTTGCCTGGCATGTGCAAGGTCCTGGGCACTGAGAAAGAGAGAAGAAAAGAAAAAAGGAAAGGAGAGGAAAAGAAAGGGAAGGAAGGAAGGAGGAAGGGAGGGAAAACAAAAAAGATAGAAAAGAAGGAGATGGAAAGGAAAAGGAAGGAGGGAGGGAGAAAAAAAGAGAGGGAAGGGAAAAGGACCCAAGAGCCCAGGGCCACTTCAATGATAGCCAGGTTCCCCTGGTCTGATCACAGTCTGTTGTGACTAGAAGATTCCACAAGCAGAAGACTCCTAGGCAACACTCACTCTACAATGCAGAACAAGAGAAGTTCCTTATACCTGGCCTAGGACCTTGAAGGCTGGGGGGTGGTAAGGGTCTCCCCCAGCACAGGGGTTCCCAGAACCTGGTACCCTGTAGGCAGCTCTCTCTGGTTCTAAGCAGGTTGTGGACCTGGAGCACTCCATTGCTCTCCTTCCTTCCTGTCTTTCCTCCATCAAAAGACAGACAAATTGGGGCTGGTGGCTTACATCTGCAATCCTAGCTACTCAGGAGGCAGAGATCAGGAGGATCAAGGTAGAAGCCAGCCCAGGCAAAGAGTTTGTGAAACCCTACCCCAGAAAAACCCATCATAAAAAAGGGCTGGTGGAGGTAGGCTCTGAGTTCAAACTCACACACACACAAAAAAAAACCAACAAAAAAAACAAGTCAGGCCTGATGGTACCCGCCTGCCATCCCAGCGCTCCTTCTGGAGGCTGGGGCAAGAGGATCTTGAGTTTGAGGCAAGTCTGGGCTTCATAGTGGGATCTTGTCTCAACCCCCTCGCCCCCACCAAATGTATATAAAACAAATATATTATAGTATAACATTACCTTTGACCTAAAGGTTTTTTTTTTCTTGTGATTTTAAAAGAAATCAGAGTATTTTCATGGGCCCTGGGCCTACTGGGCTCAGAGAAGTGTTACCTGCCAGTGCTCGGCAAGACAGCTCTAGAGCAGGAAATTGGGGGTGAAAGACAAAGAGGGGTCCCAGGTATCAGTAGGGAGCAGAAGAAGGGATCCTGAGACCACCCCCCACATGCACACATAAACACAGCACCCAGGACAACATGAAAAGAAACAGGAGCTGGCGTGTGTGTGCATGTATGCATGTGTGTGTGTGGGTATGTATCAGTGTGTACATTGTATGTGTATATCAGTGTGTGTCTGTGCCTGTGCCTGTGTCTGAGAGACAGACCACTTGCTTAGTAGGAACTGAGTAGGAATGGGAACTCTACACTCAGAATCCTGCCCCAACAGGATTCTAGAAGCATCACACTGGTTGCTTAAGCTGGGAGAACAGCGAGTCGATAAGGACAGAGGACACTCTACACACATCTTTGGTTCAAGAAAAAGGCACTCACCGACCTCGCTATCCTCTTCCCTTTCTCTCTCTCTCTCTCTCTCTCTCTAACTCTCTGGGGTGGGGGAAGAGGCAGGGCAGGGAAGAGAACCTTAGGGTCCAGCACAAATCCTGGGGAAAATCTTTGGTATCAAGCGTGATTTTTCCAATCACAGACATGAACGTTGAGTGAGGTAGCCTTTTACCTGTGGGGGGATATCACTAGAAAGGTCTCTTGCATTCTCCAAGGGAAGTGGGGGACCCCTCCCTGGGAGGCAGCCATGGAGGGAGTGCTTTGGAGGGTTCCTTCCAGCCCCGATCTTGAACTCCTGAGGAGGGCTCTTGGATCCAGCTGCTGGCCAGTCTTGGAAGTCACCTAGCCAAGATGAGCAAGCTGGGGGGTGGGGGTGCTCATCTTCACTTCTGACCCTTCCCCTTGTAATTTTTTTTTTTTTTTGGCAAAAAAATGGAGCAAGCAGATTTCAACTTCTTGAGCATCTTCTCTCCTTGGAGAGAGGCATAGCGACAAGGTTCACTCCGAAAGTCCTCTGCAGGCCCAGTTCTGCACCCCAGAGAGCCCGGGGTGGGACGGTGAATTCCAGAGGGTTCCGAGCAGAGGCACCCCGTGGCGCCGGCATAGGGACTCCAGCGGCAGGTACTTCTGTGGGTCCCCGTCTTGAGGAATCCAGTGTCACTTTCGGTTCCTGCGTTGCGTCTTCCCTGTGTGGCATTCATCAAGGTGCGTGAAGTTAAAGTGAACTAGACCGAGGTGCTGGGGGAGGTGTTTGGAATTTACCCGCATGTTGGCGCTGCCACCCCCTCGGTCTGGGATGGGGGCGGGAAGGGCGCTGGTTCCATGCCCCCTCCCCAGGCTTTAAGGCAGGCGATTCTTGGCACAAGGGGTCCTGGCCGCGGGGAGGGGCGGCTGGGGTCTTAGCTGTGGGGGGCTTCCTGCCAGCGGAGGGGTTGGCTTGGGGGGAGGAATTGGGGCACTGGGAGGATCCAGCCTGTCGTGGGCTTTGGAGACTTCGAAAGGGGCTGAGCTCCTGGGGAGGGCACAGGGCGCACGGGGAACCTCGCCTGCGGAAGGGCAGGGGGAAGGGCGACAGGTCCGCTGCCTCCCCCTGGGGCGGGGTCTGTCGAAGGAGGGTTTTTCTTAAAATTCGTTTTCTTTAAATACCCGGTTTATATTTCTAGTATGTGCTTCTTGACCCGCTTTGGGGGGACACACAGTGAGCCCTGGTTTTTCTCGAGGGCCCCTGGGCGTCCTGAATTAGGGCGAGGGGGGGACTCCATGTGCCCCGCCCCCTGGGGGTGGGGCTTCCTTTGGCCTGGGGCGTGGGAGGAGGGGCCCATGGTGCCCGGGGCTGGGTGTGCTGCCCCCTCCCGGGTGGGGTGGGAGGGGATGGGGCCGGGCCGTCGGGGGCGCGGGCGCCTCAGGCCTTGGAGAAGGTTGTGGCGGCGGCGGCGGCGGCAGCCGGGCCCCCGGGGGCAGCGCCTGGCTCCTCGGCCCAGCGGTTCATGCAGCGGCGCCGCGCGTTCATGAAGAAGTTGCTGACAGTGTTGAGCTCTAGGCCGAGCTGCTGCGAGATGGTGACCTGCATCTCCTTCGACGGCCGCTTGTTCTCCTTGAATATGGCGATTAGCGTGCGCCGCTGCAGGTCGGTGAACACCAACCGCTGCTTCTTGGGCTGCAGTGCGCGCTCCTTCTGCTGCTCCTGCTCCTTGCGCTTGCAGGCTGTGGGAGGCCGGGAGCAGGCAGGAAGACGGCCCGGGGGGGGGAGGGGAGGGGACCCAGGGACGGACAGTCACAGGGGTTGTGGAGGGGGAAGCAGCAAGGGCAGTAGAGACGCAGAGATACACAGAAGAAATGTCCAGAGCAGGGGCCGCATAAAGGACAGGAGGGGGCAGCAGGGAGGCAGAGACCGAAATGGAAGGCAGAGAGAGAGTGGGTAGGGACAGACATAGGGAAGCAGATAAGGTGGGAAGGGGACAAAGAAAAGAACACTGTGTGAGCACGATTCCCAAGTGTGCCCATCTCAGGCATCCCCTTAGGCCTCCTACCCACAAACCCCTTGCTCTCCCCTCCCCCAGCAAAGCCCCACACCTCCACCCCAGACTTTGACCCTGTACCCTGACCCTGAAGACCCGGAAAACTGCAGAAATTAGGATTGCTGGCTACACACACACACACCCTGCAGCTCCGACCTGGGAGATGTCATGTTGGGAAATGACAGGGGCACAATTCCATGTAAGTTATCCCATTGTGTAGACTGGAGGAAAGAGACAGTTAACTGTACGTCCTGGTGTACAACTGGCCAGACATACTCCCCACTTGCGCTATCCCTGTGGGGCCTGACCATCTTAGGACCCAGTTCAGTCTGACATTGACATCTACTGCCCAATACTGGTATCTGGGCCCCACAGCAGGTTCAGACCTATGTAGACTTTCTCCTCTCCAGCACCTAGGGACCCTGTGGAGCCAAGAGGGTCCAAGGAAAGGGGCCTTAGATAGGGAGGGGTTATACTGCTCCAGAAGCCTGGGGATACTTGAACTTGATCAGAATCTCCGTTGGCCCGTCTCACTTCCTGGAACTTTTCACCTCCCTACTCTAACCTCCTCTGTGCCAGTCCTGGTGGCCCAGTGGGACAGCATAGTGAGCTTGGGTTTTTTGGGTTCCAGAACAGTTGGGGCCAGATGGTGCACCAGATCAATGTCCACAGATGTCCGCAAAAATAAATGAATGTCCCCTGAGCTGTGTGATTCATTTCTCAGGGACAGGGGGTTCACCCATTGAGTGTGTGAACCGACATGCCACCTCTCTGCATCCTCTCCCTCTGGCTGGAGATGCTTGGAGCTTCTAATTGGCTGCTTCAGATTTTATGATTAAATAAGATGATGCAGGCTATTGAACGTGTCAGAAAATCACCTAGTGTGTGTGTGTATGAGAGAGAGAGAGAGAGAGAGGGAGGGAGAAGAACATAGAAAAATACATTTCAGAAGAAATGTATCAGTGAAACAAGACAAGGTAAAAGGGACAATTAAAGGAGTAAGAAAATCGCTGGGTGCCAGTGCTCATGCCTATAATCCTAGCTACTTGGGAGGCTGAGATCGATAGGATCCAGTTGGAGGCCATCCTGATCAAATAGTTCACAAGACCTTCTCTTTAAAATAACCAGAGCAAAATGGACTGGAGGTGTGGCTCAGATGGTAGAGCACACAGCCCTGAGTTCAAACCCCAGTCCTATGGGAAAAAAATGGTAGGAATTGGACCCTTCTGTGCACTCTTGAAAACTTCATTCATTCATTCACCTAACAATTTTCTCTTAAATTCATCCTTCATTTACAGTGGAGACAGAATCTTAAATGCTTCTTGGAACACTCACAAGACCAAGGTGTGCAGAGCCTTACATGGATTCTATTACTCAATCCCTGTGACCATAATTCCACAAGCAGGGGATTTTTCTCCTTATTTACACAGAGATGGCAAGTCACTGAGGCAGGGTTGCCCAGCTGCAGGCCGGCAAGAGCGGTTGACCCTTCCGGCCCAGGGAGAGAGGGGAGGTGTGGTCTCCTTGAGTCCCTAATGGGGACCCCGAGGCAGAGACTGGGGGGAAGGGCCAGGCGCAGTAGAGTCGTGAAAAAAACTTCGTGTTTTGTCGATGGCAGCAGAAAGAGGCTGGGCCGCCCCCCTTTCCCAGCGTTCAATCTAATTACAGCTGCTCACAGCCCAGATCGATCCGCTCCAGTCGGAGCTGTTTACTGCTAGTAGCTTTTGTCATCGGCCCATCCCCCACAGACCCCCGCAGATGTGGGAGTGGGGGGACGAAAACCTCCCTCCAAGGCACGAGTATCCAGCACCACCCACTCACATACCCCACCAAAGGCCACCCAGCCACAGGGCAGGTGTGAGCCTGTTCTATGGAGGGAAAAAAGGCTGGGAGAGAGGGCAGAGGGTTCTCGGAGCTGGGGACAGGCGGCAAGGATGGGGAGTCAACCTGAAGGCAGCGTGGCTTGCTCCACAAGCTGCTTGCTAGAACCCGGTCCATGGCCACTGCTTCCACAGGGACCTCCACGTGTCAGCACAGTGGCTCTCAACTCTCCTCCATCACCACCTAGTCCTTCTCCTCCTCCTCTTCCACCATCACCTCCTCCTTCATCACTTCCATCTCCACCTTCTCCATCATCTACTTCTCCATCACCACCTCCTCTGCCTCCTCCTACTCCATCACTTCCTTCTCCACCACCACCACTTCCTTCTCCTCCATCACCTCCTCCTCCATCATGTGCATCAGTTTTACCACCATGGCCTCTTTCAGGGTCAGTCTCCCTCTACCCCATCAGGTCCTCCACCTGTGCCCATCCCTCCCCCTCAACGCCTGCTTTCTTCCCCTCTACCCAGACCATAGACCATCAGCATCATGACCCCACCCCACTGTCATACTACAGAGTCCCACCCTGTGTGTGTCCAACACAAGGTGAAGTGATCCCATTCCCTGGGGCTCCCAGCTGGACACAGATGGGCAGCAGGCAGACCTGGCCTGTGGGGTTATTGGGGCTGGAGGGGTCAGTAGACTTGCTTGGAAGCCTGGGCAAGTCATTCCCCTTGTAGGCCTCAGTCTCATGACAGGCATTTTTCAGCACAAGCCAGCTGTCCAGAATCATTCTGCAGCTCCTTGTTTTATCCAGGACCACTCACCTCCATCCAGGTCACCTCTCCATCCTCACCTCCTCCCTCAGCTCTTTCTCTGTGGACATACTGGTCTCATTTCAGTCCAACCCCAGGACCTTTGCACTAGCTGTCCTCTCTCCCTTATGTGCTTTCCTCAAGTTGCCTCATAGCTCCCTCAAGTCTTGGCTCAAGTATCTCCCTCCCTGGAAGCCTGCTAGCCTGCATTTCATCCCATCACTCCCTTCTCTACCCCACCCTTTTCTTCATTCTATTTGCTCACAGCATGGTCCTTAAAGGCCATTCTGGCAGGATCCACTGGGGGCCCCTCCCCCACTGCCTGCCCTCACTTCCTTGTAGACTCCAGGGACTGAGCGCTGGAGACGAAGAGCAGAAGGTCAGAGAAGCTCCGATCATACAACATCAGTCCTCCACCTTCTGTCCCCTCTGCTGGGGTCTAGGGATTAGGAGGTGGCCTGGTTCCTGGGAATCCCAGCAGTCCTGGACCATCAACCACTATCCTCAGATGGAGACAGCACATGTGTCATGGGGGGTGGGACTCTGCAGTGTCAAGAAGCCCAGCTCCAGGGCACTGCCCCTCACTCTCCAAACTTATCATCTTATTTTTTGCCCCCGCGGGGCAGGGACACGACCTTGATTGCCCTCTTTGACCAGTTGTCCTGCAGTTCCTCCTGATTCCGGCAGAGGGCAGCCGTCTCCGCCCCAGCCTAGACTGAGCCTTTTGGTCGGTGTGGTGGGGGGCAAAGGGAAATGAACTGGGGCAACTCCCAAGTTCAGGATGGAAGCCCTTTTGCTTCAAACCCTTGAACTTGCCCCAGCGCACACGTGTTCCCTGCTTCCTGCTTTTCTAGAAAGTTGCTAGGGTTATCAGGCCACCCAGGGGCCAGGCTGGCCATCAGACTGCTGAGTGTTGGACCCTCTGGTTCCTCAACTGCATAATGGTCCCAACCTGTCCTCTCTTTGCTGGACTATGGGAAACAAAAGTCTTGAGTAAGGTGAGGGTTAGAAAAGACCTACCCCTGTTTCCATCTGGAAATCCCTGGGCTCTGTGTGGCCACGAGGTTCTGCCCCCTCTCAGGACAGGTCCTAAGCCTCTTCCCCTCTCCCCTCTCCCCTGTCCAGCTTCCTGGACAGAAGATGGATGGAGAAACTGACATTTGGAGTAGAGAGTTGGACTGTCCCAGCCAGGTAACTCCTACACATTCCTTAAGGCCCAGTTGCAAAGGTCCTTTCCTTTCACCCTCTGCAGAGCCCTGACTCCCTCCTCTGGGATCCCCTGTCACTGTCCCTTCTTATGGCCCTGCCCTGACTCTGTAGGGCATAGTCACCCAGCACAGAGTGGGTCTACAGAAGGCTGAGTGTGTTTGTACAAGGACTAGCACAGCTAAGAGTATAGCTAAGCCATTGATCAAGTGGCAGGGACTCCCTCTCAGTTGGGGGCTGGGGGTTTAGTCACTCCTAAGTGGATCTGCCTGCATCCTGGCTGCAGTTGAAGGTGACCATCTGAAAGACACCAACTCCTTTCTGCCTCACCTTCCCCCCAACTTACCTGTCCCTCTCCCTGCTGTTCTCCTTCCTCCCCCCCCAGAAGCCCTCAGTGTGGCTGTGTATGGAACTGGGGTACAGTGCAGTGCCTGCCTCCTCCTTGGCTCAGAGGGCACCTCTGAGCTTGCAAACCTCTGTGCCCATGTGGGTTGCCTATGGACTCTCTGATGGCCTGGTGGGGATGAGGGTGAAGCAGGGAGCTGCATGGCCTCAAGGCTTGTACACGTGCACTTGGCTACAATTTGTGGATGTCCATGTGTGCCCAGGCTGCCTATGTGTGACAATCTGGAGAACTTGTGATTGTAGCAAGAGTGGACTCTGTGGCTGGTGGGAAAGTGTGGGCAGCTGTATGCAGACCTGGTGAGAGTGGCTGTGGCTGTGAGCAATGGGGGACCTCAGAGTAAATGACAGTCACTTTTGACTGGCTAAGGGTGCAGCTAGGGCAGCCCTTCTCTGCCTGCCTCAGTCCCCCCTCACAATTCCAGATCAATGGGGACACAGG